AAAACTGATGCCCCGCTCAATATAAGAGCCATTTTCTACGTACCTAAATACAAACCATGTGAGTATAATGTGATAAACTAAAAATCATGATATGGATTTGACCTGCTTTGAATTGTTACAAACCATTTGAAATTTAAGGGATGTCAACATATTTAAAGATAACTTGGTTATAAAGGTTTTGGAAATATTGTATTATAATTTTGTCTTTTATAACTTAAACACGCTTGAAATTCTTATATTTTGATAATAAAAAGTCTTAATTTTATTGGTTGATTTTTCAATCTTGTTTTATCTAAATTTTACAGTTACAGTAGAACCCCACTAATAAGACCGCTCCTGGTGCTGAAGATAAATGGTCTTAATTTTTATTGTCTTTTAAAGTAATGTTGTCATCATCGGACAGTTTTTGGAGCCAAGGTGTAACCATATGATAAAGTGATTTGTAAAATATTCTGAATGAAATGAAGTATTATCTAGAGCATTTAGGGGAAAGAAAAAAATCATTATTGAACATTTACTCTTGATTTTTGATAAGTTTGTTTTCGTTTCTTTATTACTATTAAATAGCTAAATATCAGAATGATAATGAAATATCATCAGTATAGTGTTAAAACACCTGTTACAAAGCAGTCTGCAAAAAATAAGTAAAGCCTGAGACCAAGTCCAGTAAAATCCCATTTGGGCTTGCAAATGTAGGAAAATAGTCACCAGGACTAGCAATGTTTTGCTAACAACTCTTGTTAGAGATTTTGAGGCTAGTTAAAATTGGTTGGAGCTTTATAGTATTGTACTGGGAAAAGTCCGAATGAATATGAAAATAAAAAGTTTTTGTGCAGACTGACAAAGGAATCCAATTGAAAGTAAGCAGAATTTACAAACAACAAAACTTTCAAGAAAAACAAACTGCTAAGCTTAATTTCAATTGGAAAATATCGTTAAAATCAACAAAGCTTTCAATTTTCTTGTTTTGTTACCATTCAATAAAGAAACCCTTTATTATTTTAGCATTGTTTGACATGAGTCGTGAGTGTAAGATGTATAATCTCAACATTGTTTGACATGAGTCGCGAGTGTAAGATGTTTAATTTCAGCATTGCTTGACATGAGTCGTGAGTGTAAGATGTATAATTTTTAGCATTGTTTGACATGAATCGTGAGTGTAAGATGTATAATTTCAACATTGTTTGACATGAGTCGTGAGTGTAAGATATATAATTTCAACATTGTTTGTCATGAGTGTAAGATATAGAACTTCAACATTGTTTGACATATTTTGTGAGTGTAAGATGTATAATTTCAACATTAATTGACATATGTTGTGAGTTTAAGATATAGAATTTCAGCATTGTTTGACATGAGTCATGAGTGTAAGATATAGAACTTCAACATTGTTTGACATATGTTGTGAGTGTAAGATGTATAATTTCAACATTAATTGACATATGTTGTGAGTTTAAGATATAGAATTTCAGCATTGTTTGACATGAGTCATGAGTGTAAGATATAGAACTTCAACATTGTTTGACATATGTTGTGAGTGTAGGATGTATAATTTCAACATTGTTTGACATGAGTCGTGAGTGTAAGATATAGAACTTTATAGCATTGCAATATTGTTTGACATGAGTCGTGAGTGTAAGATGTATAATTACAACATTGTTTGACATGAGTCGTGAGTGTAAGATATAGAACTTTAACATTGTTTGACATGAGTCGTGAGTGTATGATGTATAATTTCAACATTGTTTGACATGAGTCGTGAGTGTAAGATATAGAATTTCAAAATTGTTTGACATGAGTCGTGAGTGTAAGATATAGAATTTCAAAATTGTTTGACATGAGTCGTGAGTGTAAGATATAGAATTTCAACATTGTTTGACATGAGTCGTGAGTGTAAGATATAGAATTTCAACATTGTTTGACATGAGTCGTGAGTGTAAGATATAGAATTTCAACATTGTTTGACATGAGTCGTGAGTGTAAGATATATAATTTCAAAATTGTTTGACATGAGTCGTGAGTGTAAGATGTATAATTTCAACATTGTTTGACATGAGTCATGAGTGTAAGATGTATAATTTCAACATTGTTTGACATGAGTCGTGAGTGTAAGATGTATAATTTCAACATTGTTTGACATGAGTCATGAGTGTAAGATGTATAATTTCAACATTGTTTGACATGAGTCATGAGTGTAAGATATATAATTTCAAAATTGTTTGACATGAATCATGAGTGTAAGATGTATAATTTCAAAATTGTTTGACATGAGTCATGAGTGTAAGATGTATAATTTCAGCATTGTGTGACATGAGTCATGAGATCGAAGTTAGTCTACAGCTGTACAGTAGGAAAGTTATGATCATGTCCAAGTCCAACACAATACTTCCAAAATGGCTCAGATTTATGAAAGGAATATCTTTTTCATATTTTTCATATGTACACTTTAGAACTTGCACCAGTATATGCGAACTTTTTTCAATGTTCAAGAGGGAGAATTTACTTTAAAAAAGAGGGGGATTTTGTAACTGACAATAGACATAGATGGAAATGAGGGATATTTCTTTTTTTTAAATGCCTCTTATTCTAAGAAAAATATTTTGAAATTTGAAAGGAGAAAGAGGAAGTCTCCCACTAAAATAGGTAGAGTTCAGATGTATGGAATATGATGTCATAGATAATGTTGAATTGATATAAAAACAAAATGTGATTGCTGTATTACTAAATGAATTTAATAAATTTATTACATAGGAACAGAACAGAATTATCACACCAGTTATGAAAAGAACAATTGTTCTCTATAACCTGATTTTTATGTAATATATACATTGACGTAGTAGTGTATGTTCATAATTATATAAATGTAGCAGAAAGGTAACAGAGGACATGATTGCTAGTATGATCTGGTAATTGGAAAAAAAAAGATGTAAGGCCTTCATGACTGAGTGGTTAAGGCGGTTGACTTAAAACCACTTGCAGAACACTGCTCTGGGTTTGAATCCGAACAGTTACTTTGGATTCTTTCATGCGAGGAAGCTGAGAGCTAGCTTATGAAAAATCTATGGTTTTACTCAGGTGCCTGAAATAATGCATGGAAGGACACCTGAGGTCTTCCTCTACCAGTAAAGCTGGAAAGATGCTATATGACCTATACATTTTGATGCAATGTAAAACACAACAAACAAAAAAAAATGAATAAATAAAATAAATGAAAAACATATCCAATTTATTGACATCAAATATGTAAAAAAAAAAAGATATTTTAAAATGTTAATATTTAAATAATTCTTTATGCTTTAAAGAAAACTTGTTGATAGTGAAGACATTCCACTCAATTTAAGCAGGGAGTTGTTACAAGACAGTGGATTGATCAAGTACAGTCAACTTACATATTTTATTTACATAAAAAAATTAAGCCTCAACTTTTCCCAAAAATTAACAGCAGTTGTATTCTGTTATACATTTTCATTTTTCTTTACATTACCATTCTCTTTGTCCAACAAATCATTAAAGTGGTAGGGTGGCCAAAGGGTAATGCGTCAGACTAATCATCTATGGATTGCTGACCGCGTGGGTTCAAACCCTGTCAGGGGCAAGCCATTGTTTCTTTGTGCAAGAAACTTCTTATTTATTGCCTAATACTGGTTAAAGGATTACAGATTAGTAATTAATGGTCCCTGGTTCCATCCCGAGGGGAGTTGCAATTTCTCCATCAGAATTGATCACTCAAATTGAGTCTAATGGTCATATTTCTTCCACTGATTCAGAAATCATGTAGTATAAGTAGTTAATCACTTGCATAGAAATTGGTTATAACTTGTTAATTATCCAGAAAAGCTGGTTAACTGGCTCCACTATTAAGTTGATCTTCAGTGGTACAAGTACTCCTAAACAAACACGTTGTCTTTTTTTGGTTATTTGTGGATGGTACCTGAGCCTTTTGATTTTGATTTATTAGAATTGGCAATAAAAAAAAAAAACTTTTTATGCACCCGCCATAAAATGGCTAGGACATAAAGTGTTATCCTGTTCCGTCATTCCGACCTCTCCTTCCGTCATTCCGTCCTTCCGTCATTCTGTCATTCCGCCATCATTCAGTTTCAGTTCATTATCTTAGTAATGGATGCACACATTTAAATGGATAAATCATGAGAAAATACAGGTCAAGTTCGAATTTTGGTCATGGTCAATGATTTTTGCCCCTTTCACTTTGAAAATAATGAAAATAATATAAAATTTTCATTTTCCGTTCATTATCTACCCCATTATTGCACATATTCAACTCAAATTTAATATATGGATTTGTCAAAGGAATGTGCAGGTCAAGTTTATTTTAGGTCATGGTTCGATGATTTTTGGCAGAGTAATGCCACTTTGAAAATAATATGAAATTTGCAGTTTCTGTTCATTATCTTTCCAATGGTATTATACATTCAACTCAAATTATTATATATTTGGCTACGTCAAAGGAACGTTCTGTTCAAGTTCGAATTTGGTCACGGTTCGATGATTTTTGGCAGAGTTATGCCACTTTCACTTTGAAAATAATATGAAATTTTCAGTTTCCGTTCATTATCTTCCAAACTGTATTACACATTCAACTCCAATTTGACATTTGGATACGTGAAAATAGGCAGGTCAATATTAAATATGGTCATGGTTATTTGATTTTTGGCAGAGTTATGCCCCTTTCACTTTGAAAATAATATTATATTTCCATTTACGGCTCATTATCTCCCCAACGGATAATACATTCAACTCAAATTTGACATATGGATATGTCAAAGGATGCACAGGTCAAGTTCGAATTTGGTCATGGTTCGATGATTTTTGGCACAGTTATGCCCCTTTGACTTTGAAAATAAAATGAAATTTTCAGTTTCCATTCATTATCTCCCCAATAGTTGAACATTTAATGATGATAGCTGACAGAGTAGCTGACAGAGTTATCCATCTTGAACATTGAAACAAATCAAAAATATTTAGTTTCTTTCATTATATCCCCAATGGTGTACACATTCAACTCCAATTTGACATAAAGGTACATCTTTGGAATAAGCAGTTCAAGTTTGAATTTGGTCGTGGTTCAATGATTTTGGACAAAGTTATCTCTCTTGAAGGTTGGAAAAATCTTGAATTTTCAGTTTCAGCGCTCATACTTTTGTGGGTAAGTATGTAGCCATTAATTTGGCTACAGATATGCAATATGCAATTTATATAACGTTAACACTGAATAGTTTCTGTGCCTTACACTTTTGTTTAAAAATGGTTTGTGTTTACATTGAATACTTTTAAGGGCTTTGAACTTAAAATGAAAAAAGTAGTTGGTGCAAACAAATTTGGAACTAAATATTGTAACATCTGAAATTTTGGCGTGACGACACATTTCTAGTTGTGAAAAGCACTTAATATGGGGACTTTGGGGTACACAGTAATTAAACATTGCCTTAGTTAATAACCTTAAATCTGATTACATACATTTATTCTTATTTTTTTTTAAAAAAAAACACTTCATAGAAAAGTATTGCTTAATTGGATTTAAGTGCCCATTTAAGCATATATAGTATGTGTGTAGATATAGTCAAAATATCTTAACATTTTGCCCATGTTTATGATAGTTTATAGATGTGAAGAAAGTTGTCATTTATCTCATCTTTTCGTCGGCCACTGAAATACAGCTTCTTTGTTTCCTCACACCAGCAAACAGCATATGGACTTTGCAAATTCTTCAACACCACCTTTCTTGAGGAACAGTCTCCTGATATCTCTTTTATAACATGTCTCCGCTAGTCACACACAAAGACAGTACCATCATCTGACAGTGATATCCCACTTGGGAAACTCATACCACTGTAACTACTTATCGAATCACCCTGCCAGTTTAATCTTGTAACTGTCGTCATGTTACAGTCAGATACATAGATAGAACTTTTGTTACTTGTGATAAACCATGGATATTTGAAAACATTATTTCCATCAATTGTTGTTTGTATTGCGGCATTCAGGTCAAGGATCTGAAGTTTTGCAGGATTAAGGAATGACACAACAAATTTACCTTGGTAACAGCTTATACCATAACACTTTCCATCAACCTTCACAGTGTGCTTCTTTATGAGTTTGTTTAATGAGATTGATATAAATTGTATTGTTTGTTTGTAAGGAAGTGTGACAGCTAGTTCAGTACTGGTTACTGGAGTGATATCCCATGGTTGATCATCTAGTTGTAGTTGATAAGACACAGATTGACTGCTGGTATCCACCATCTTTACAGCTTTGTTATTATAGTCAGCGATGATAAGAAGATCACGAGTCAGCAGAGTCATTCCTGATATCCAGCATTTGTCTTTATCTTTTGATGTCTTCACATGTATGTCTCCCTCATGTGATGATTGTCTGGACTGTATTTGTATGGGTAGAGCTTCTTTATTTAAAGTTCTCTTTGTCAGTGTACCAAAAGACTTCTCTGCTTTAAGGTTGGTTAATATTGCCACATTTTCTTTAAAGTTGTGCTCTTTGATATCATATAAAGAAAATTTTAGTTCCTTTTCCTCCATATCTGTCAATGTTTTCTCAGCAAGTTTGAGTTCCATGCAGAGTTTGTCAAATTGTTTAGATATGTTGAGTTGTTTGATTTTATCTGTGGATGCCTTCAGAGATTTGGTAACTTCTTCACATGTTTTTTCTGCTGCTTTCAGATGTTTGTTGTTTTCTTGTTCTATGACATTAGCTGCATCTTCAGCCTGTCTCTCAAGTTCATCTAGTCTTTGGTTGATTTCTTGCCTAAATATTTTGATTTCTGCCAATGTTTCTTTGAGAGAGCTGTTTGATTTGTATGTCATGTTCTTGACATCTTTTAATATCTGTTGAAAATGGTCACAAGTGGTATTTACTGCATTCAGGGTAACTTGATATTCTTTGCTGTCTATTAAATCACCAGAAATGTCTGGTATATAATTGACATTACATGAAGTAGCTTGATGTTCAAGGGTAACACAAACACTGCAGAGAAATTCTACATGATCGTGACAGTAGAACTTGATCATTTCTTGTGGATGTTTGAGACAGGGTGTGGTCAGGACATCAGGCTGGCCGTTGTGAATAGATGTTGAGGGTTGCTGCAATACTTTAGGCATATTAGTAGCGTCCTGAAGTGTGTGATGTTTTGAAAACCTACTGACTTTGTGTGCTGTAAAACAATTATTGCAGAGGTGTTCCTTGCAGTCAGTACAGTAACCATGGGCAGGTAGTCTAGGCCCTTCCTCGCCACAAGGCTGGCAGTAAATTTTAAGATCTTCATCTGATGCCATGGATGTTGTTGATGATGAAAATTGTTTTGATGCTTTCTTTCCTGAGACTGCCATGTTTTACCTAAAATGTATTATAATAGACTAACTCCTGAATTAAGAATATGTGACTTTTCCCAAGCTATTCCGTAGGTACAAACAAACTTTTGCTGTTACAGCTTTGAAAATGATCCTGACAGGTTGACTAATCTAGTTTGTTGGGTAATGTACCATGAAACTATAACGGTAAAAGTTTGTTTGTACCAACGGATTAGCTTTGAAAACCCCGCATTTGCCGAGTTATAGATAATATCTATAGATTACGATGTATTGTATGTTTTCAAAAACATAAAACACGAGATTCATCGATGATTTGACACAAAGATAAAGTCTAGTTATTCCCCGCCGATGGAATCGGGAGGGGGAAATTGTTTTGGCGTTGTCCGTCCTTCCGTCCGTCCGTCCCACTTTCGTGCCCGGTCCATAACTTTTTCATTTACCAAAGGAATCTGAAATAACTTGGCACACATCTTTGTTATAATAGAACGATGTGTCATGCACAACACCCAGACCCCTACCTCCATGGTCAAGGTCGCACTTGCTCATTCAAGGTCAACATTGTCTATTTGAGGGTATATGTCGTGTCCGGTCCAAAGCTTTCTTTTCTTTGATGGGATTTTGTAAATAAAATTTTTCACAATGATAATGAGACGATGTATCATGCGCAATAACCAGTCACCTCCCTCCAAGGTCAAGGTCACACTAGGAGGTCAAAGATAAACAGGGTATATTTTGTGTCCGGTCCATAACTTTTTCATAGATCAAAGGATTTTGTAAATACTTGCCACAAATAGTCACTATAATAAGACGATGTGTCATGCGCAACACCTGCATCCCTACCTCCAAGTTCAAGGTTCTAAAATTATATTTTAACAAAAAATGAAAGTTCACTTCAAACTTGAAATTCTTGTTAGTCTGCTTATCACATTTACATAATTTTCCCCTTTCTTTATTGATATGATTGAATTATATTATAAAGCAATTGAAAAAATGGAGCGCTCTGTCTACTGACTGGTTTGATTACAAATATAAATATAATTAAAAGGCATGCAAAAATACCGGTAACCCAGTCCAGAAGTTTTTCAATACCATGACTTTGTGTTTCAAAATATATGTATATTTAATTGAACTTCCTTTTAAAAAAATCCTTTATAAAATAATAATGCTCACTAGTTGTGAGAGAGTAATTTTTTGTAGACATTAAGATATTTAAAAAAATTATTGAACCTTGAAATTGTAATCCTCAGAGATTGTCTCACATTTTCCAAATGTAAATATTTGGTACGTGGATTTTGCTCTGTTTTTACTTCCTTGTTTTAAAACACTGATAACATTGTAAAGTTACAAGTTTAAACCAGTCATTTATTTCGTAAATAAAGAGTGTAGTGTGCGAGAAACTATTTAATTTTAGCATTGTGTTTTTTAATCAGTATTTTAACTTGTTAAGAATATAAAAAAAGTCCTGATATTTATGCTCCTGAAGGGTGAGTATATAGTTCCCGCTTTGTCCATCCGTCCAGTTGTCAGTCCATGTGTCCTCTTTTCTTGTCCGGGACATAACTTTGTAACAACAAGAGGTATCAACGTGAAACTTTGTAGGTAGATAGATCTCATTTGGTAGAGGTGCAGTGCAAAAGAACCATAAAACTGCCCTGCCTAATTTTGGAGTTATGGCCCTTTGTCCATTTTTACACTTTGAACTTTGTCTGGAACATAACTCTGAAACTATAAGAGATATCAACATGAAACTTTGTAGGTAGAAGTTCTCATTGGGCAGATGTGCAATGCACAATAATTGTAACTCTGCCCTGCCTTGATTTGGAGTTGTTGCCCTTTGTTCATTTTTATACTATGAACTTTGTCTGGGACATAACTTTAAATCTATAAGAGATATCAACATGCAACTTTGTAGGTAGATAGATGTCATTGAGTAAAAGTGCAGTGCAAAACCACCACAACTCTGCCTTGCCTAATTTTGGAGTCGTTGCCTGTTGTTCATTTTTACACTCTGAACGTTGTCCAGGACATAATTCTGAAATTATCAGAGGTATCAACATGAAACTTTGTAGGTAGATAGATCTCATTGGGTAGACGTGCAGTGCACAATAACCATAATTCTGCCTTGCCTAGTTTTGGAGTTGTTGCCCTTTGTTCATTTTTTACACTTTGAACGTTGTCCTGGACATAGTTCTGACAGTATAATAGATATGAACAAGACACTTTGTATGTAGATATATATCATTGAGTATATGAGCAGTGCACAGAACAGTCACTTTATCTTGCCTAAGTTTGGAATTATTGCACTTTGAATTTTGTCCGGGCCATAACTCTGAAACTACAAGAGGTATACTTTTCTGTGTCCAAAACCTATTTGGGGAGCATGATGCACCCGGTTCAACCGGTTCTTGTTCCATCTGCTGTAACTACTACAAAATATTTACTTATTTCTTTTGTTTCTTCATTATTTATGATATTGACATTTATTTATTATTTATTGACATTGTTCGTTGCTTGTATTTGTAATTCAACTTATTACGTAACAAGGAAACATTCTACAATGGTGATAATTGAAAACCTGGTTTGTGGCATTGCTATGTTTCTTTTATATTTTCATTTAATAATGATTTTTTAATTATTTTTTTAGAATATTTCAAGATTGTTGAAAGAAATTGGTTTGATTGACACAAATTTCAATACGTTTGTGAAATTCTGTAGTAAATATCCTCTACTGTCAATATGAAAATATCATTCCTTCATTTGTCCTTCCTTCTACATGTATATGTCCTTTTGTATCATAGTTTGGGGACCTTTCTGTTGAAAAAGTGTCAGAGTTAAATCGTATACATATACATGCACAGTGCGGTAACTGGAGTGCAGGTATCAGTTACCCGCCCACTCCAGATCATACCCGTTTGATTGGCTCATTTTTGCTGGGGTTTACATATTGTGACGGCAGAGAAAGGGAAAGCGGCAGAAATATCATATTCAGATGCTCGATCATTGGTTACTTTTTCCTCGGGGTTTAAAATTGTGACAACAGGGAACGTGTTTTTATGTTTGACTATGATACAAAAGAGAAAGAACACCAAAACACTCGGCAATCTGATTTATACTCGGGGGCTACGCCCCCTCGTACAAATCAGATAGCCTCGTGTTTCGGTGCTCTTTCTATTACTTGTCCCACGACCCTTTCTTGTTCCATTCACTTGTTTGTAATACTGAGAGCTATTCTACTAACATGGGTGTCTGCTTTTATTTAAGTTTTTCGTACCATCCCACTCATTTTTTGGAGTTTAAATGTCAAGTGCTGTTTGTTTTTGAACTTGTAATTACTTGAGAGATTGTAAAATTATTTGTGATATATCTTCATCTCAGTCAGACAGTGTGTTATGTGCAAGTCGTTGGTCAAGTCTATACTTAGATGTAAAAATGTATTATTGCATGGCTGTCAGTGTCGTATGTACATATTGTTAGTTAAGTAAAAAGTATATGTGGATTTTTATGCTCCCGAAGGGAGGCATAATATAATCGCACCGTCTGTCCGTCCGTCTGTGCCACTTCATTTGTGTCCGGACTGTAACTTTGTAATACATTGAGGGATTTTGAAATAACTGGGCACAAATGTCTACCACATCAAAACGATGTGTCGCATCCAAAAAACTACGTCCCTACCTCAAAAGTCAAGGTCACACTATTAATTTGAAGTTTAATATTATCGCAATTAGAGTAAATAGGTACACACATTCATGTCTGGACTGTAACTTTGTCATGCATCGAAGGATTTTAAAATAACTAAGAATAAATGTCTACCACATCAAGACGACATGCCGCGACAAAGACATATGTCCCTACCTTCAAGGTCACACTTAAAGTTTGATGGTAAACATTCTCTCGAGAAGAGTTTGAAGATACACACACATTCATGTCCGGACTGTAACTTTGTCATGCATGGAATGATTTTAAAATAACATTGCACAAATGTCTACCACATCAAGACAATGTGTTGCGGCTAAGGCTCATGTCCGTCTGTCCATGTGTCTCCACTTACACAACAATCATGTCCAGACTTTAACTTTGTCATGCATTGAGGGATTTTGAAATAATTTGGCACAAATGTCTATCTCATAACAACATTTTGTTGCGTCCAGGAACCACGTCCCTTCTTCAAAAGTCAAGGTCACACTTATTTTTTGAAGGTTCATGTTATCACAATTGGAGATTACAGGTACAATAATACAAAGAATACTATTCAGCAATTAGTTACTTTTATTCTCTTTTCTTTTCTTTTTCCATGCTTAAGAAACCTTTTCGGGGCCATTTGTCACTTGGGTGACAGCTCTTGTTTCTTTTAAATTAAAAAAAATAAATATATAAGAAATAAGTATTTGCCATGACAACCAACAAGAAGAAACTTTAGAACTATTCTTTTCATAAACTGTAGGTTAAATTTTGTTATTATTTATTTTTAGAAATGGTCGCCCAATATTTGTGAATTTAAAAACATGATTACTGGGAGCATGCTCTTTATTTAAAAAAAATATAATTTTAAAGAATGACATGGCGGCTAAAGGGGCTGGGATCATTATCTTTGGTATATAGGAATTAGTAAAAATCTGTTTAGTGTTAGTCAAATTTTGATAAAATTAAATATTTATGCTTTATAGGTGATCGACTATGGAGATATTTAAATGGATTGTGTTTCCCTAGATATTTATAAATAAAAACTTTGCAATTCTTCCTATGAATTTGTGAACAATATATGGCCTTCAAGTTGACTTTCTGGTATTTTTATAACCAAAGTATTTTAAGAGTATTAATACTAATTATTTAATATTTAGAAAGACATAAAAGATATTTACCTGGTTTAATCCTAGAAATTGTTAAACAGGTGTAAAATCATGCACAATGATTCACTCTAACTACATAATGTAAATATTTTGCGCTCTGTTAGATCTGTGAAATTTGATATTTACTTCCTTAATTTTTATCATCCTACATTTAAAATCTGAAAGGTAATACTAGTACATGTAATTTATTCAGGTAGTACTAGTTATGCATACAGAAATTTTGAATTTATTAAATTTTAGTCTTGAGTTTAAAACAGAGGGACATCCGTGGCTGAGTGGTAAAGGTTGTGACTTCAAACCACTTGCCTCTCACCTCTTTAGGTTCGAGCCACACAAGCATGGTCGGATTCTACCTGTGAGAAAGTTATCCAGCTAGCTTACGGAATGTTGGTTGTTCTACTCAGGAGCCTGTTTGTGCCTGAAATAATTCACTTAATGGCACCTCAGGTCTTCCACCACCAGTAAAGCTGGAAAGTCCCAATATGACCTATACAGTGTTGGTGCAACAAAACCAAACAAAAAAAAAATAAAATAGTTATAATAATAACCATTCAGAAAGATCAAGTTTTTGTGTGTTTGTTTCGTTGTTTTATTTTCAAGCATGGTGAAAATGATAATGAATGATTCAAAAATGTATTTAAGAAGATGTTTCTATCATTTAGTACAAGAGATAAATATATTATCTTCGATGATGAAGGGGAATCAAATATTTTTTTTATTATTTCTTTCACAGGTGTGTGACACATAGCCAGAATAAAACATATTTTATATTAAAGTGACATTATGCTCATTTGTGGGTAAACCGTGAGTGAACAGGTGAAAGTCAGAATAAGTTTTTATATAGCCATGATTCCTTTAAATCCAGTAATTTTCTTCATATATACAATAAATAATCCCCAGACCGAAACGGAATTTCTGTAAATATCAATTAGAACTTACCTGAAACGTTTAGTTTATAAAAAGAGTGGGGCAGTCTTTTTATATTTTAGGCAGAATTTGAATTTAGCCTAAACATTTTCCAAAATAAACTGTTGGTCAAACGCCATTTTAATAGTCAATCTTTTGAAATAAAAAGTCAATTCAGCTTAACTTGAGTTGAAAACATGAGCAAAATGTCACTTTAATATGATGTTTTTTTTTAGCTCACCTGTCACAAAGTGACATGGTGGGCTTTTGTGATCGCTTTTCCGTCCGTCCGTAAACTTTTAATTTAAACAACATCTCCTCAAAAACCGCTAAGCCAATTTCATCAAAACTTCACAGGAATGTTCCTTTGAATAGTCAACATTAATAATTGTTCAAAGAATTTAATTCTAAGCAGAACTCTGGTTGCCATGGCAACTAAAAGAAAAAACTTAAAAAATCTTCTCTTAGAAAACTGAAAGAGCTAGAGCTTAAATATTTGGCATGAAACATCATCTAGTAAGGGTCTTCCAAGTTTGTTCAAATAAAAGCCCTGGGGTCAAAATTGGCCCCGCCCCGGGGGGTCATTGATTTTCCTTATTTGTATATAGTAAAAACTTTAAAAATTCTTCTTTTAAAAAAACCCTAAGAGCTAGAGCTAAGATTTTATTTAGCACGAGTGTCTACCATTTTTGTTCAAATAAGGGCCCTGGGGTTAAAATTGGCCCCGCCCCGGGATCATTGATTTTCCTTATATGTATATAATAAAAACTTATTAAGATAATCTTCTTTGAAAAAAAAAGCAAAAGAGCTAGAGTTTAGATATTAAGCATGAACTTTCTTTTATTGAGTGACTACCAATTCAAATAAAAGCCTTTATGTGTATGGTAAAAACTTAAACAATCTTCTTACAGCTAGAGCTTAGATATTTATTATGAAACATCTTCAAATGGGTGTCTACAAAGTTTTGTCAAATAAAAGCCCCCTGGTTAAAATTGGCCCCGCCCCAGGAGCCTATATACAGGTGAGCTATTTCAGGGCCATCATGGCCCTCTTGTTTCATATTTGTAAAAGTTTAAGGGGTATAACTCTGCCAAAATTCATCAAACCATGACAAATTCAGACTTGACCTGTATTTTCTCATGACTTATCCATATGTCAAGTTTGAGTTGAACGTTTAATACCGTTGGGGAGATAATGCACGGAAACAGAAAATTTCATATTATTTTCAAAGTAAAAGGGGCATAACTCTGCCAAAAATCATCGAACCATGATCAAATTCGAACGTGCCTTGTGTTTTTTGATGACATATCCATCTGTCAAATTTGAGTTAAATGTTTAATACCGTTCGGGAGATAATGAACGGAAACAGATGATGACGGAATGACAGAATGACGGAACAGGGTAACACTATATACCCCAGCCATTATATGGCGGGGCATAAAACACATTCTGACATTCAAGGCCCCTGTGACCTTTACTCTTTCCTTTCGCCACCCTTCGGGTTTTTGTTTAGTGGATTCTGGGTGCCCTGCTTGGGTATGTCGGGGGATGCGTCCTGTGAACGTTGCCTCTGCCTTGCTGATCTTTATCCTTGTTTTTTACAGTACCTATTAATTCATCCGAGAAGTGGCATGCTAAGTTTTGAAAACACTTTTTTTAAACACCTGAAGGAGATACAGACATGATTCAAAAAGTGAATCAAAATCACTAGGCTGAACAAGAAACTGACTGAAAGCTGTGTTTTATTTCAACTTTCGACATAATGCATTATTTTCTTTATTTTGAACTTATACCGCTTTGTAAAGCATGCTTTCAATAAAATCATTTATGTTGAACACTATTCGGAGGAAAGAACAACCTTGTTATCAATCTTCAGCCACTGGTACTGTTGGAAACGAGTCCGACATCATTAATTCGAAGACTTTTTGTCCTTATTTGGAAAATTCCATTATGATTTGGTTTTTACATCCATAATATATTTGCACAAATAGAACATTACGATGTTATTTTCTCAGTGTAATTATTCGTGCTTAATACATTGAGGAAACAAAAAAATCTACAAGTTAAAACAAGAGGGCCATGATGGCCCTGAAATCGCTCACCTGTATATAGGCCCCTTGGCCAAGGCCAATTTTAAACCAGGGGCTTTTATTTGAACAAACTTGGTAGACTCCCATTAGAAGATGTTTCATGATAAATATATAAGCTCTAGCTCTTTAGAGTTTTTTATAAGAAGATTTATTAAGTTTTAACTACATACATATAGGGAAAACAATGACCCCAATCCCCTTGGAGGGGCCAATTTCCATCCCAGGGCTTTTATTTGAACAGACTTGGTAGACACTCACTAAAAGATATTTCATGCTTAGTATCTAAACTCTTGCTCTTTGGGTTTTTAATAAGAAGATTTTACGTATACACACATAAGGAAAATAAATGACCCTTGGGGCAGGGCCAATTTTAACCTAAGGGTCCTTATTTGAACAAACTTGGTAGACACCCATTAGAAGATGTTTTATGCTAAAAATCTTAGCTCTAGCTCTTTGGGGTTTTTAAAAGAAAATAAGGAAAATCAAAAACCCTCGGGGCGCGGCTAATTTTGACCCCAGGGCATTTATTTGAACAAACTTGGTAGACACTGACTAGATGGTGTTTCATGCCAAATATTTAAGCTCTAGCTCTTTTGGTTGGCTAAAAGAAGATATTTTAAGTTTTTTCTTTCGGTTGCCATTGCATCCAGAGTTCTGCTTGGAATTTAATTCTTTGAACATTTTTTTAAGTTGACTACCAAAGGAACATTCATTTGAAGTTTGGTTGAAATTGGCTTAGTGGTTTATGAGGAGATGTCGTTTAAAGTAAAAATTTACGGACGGACACCGGACGTACACCGGACGAAAAGCGATCACAAAAGCTTACCATATCACTTGGTGAATTATCATTACTTTCATTCATCACAGGGGACACTCAGCACAGATGATAAAGTCAACACAGAAGAAAAATCAGCATAGATATTAAGTCTACATAAATTTATTATTCAGCACGTTTGTAACGGCGCTTTTTATTGGATAACCGTGATGGTTATATTATGTATATACGCTTCTTCAGTCATTTTCGCTTAAATAATTCTGAAATTGAAGAATATAAATTCGTTACAAAGACAAAGCCTAGTGGCTTTGGTAACGTCAACTTACAACCGTGTTTAATGATCCATATAACCTGTGGCTAGGATTACATCGACCTACAACGTTTTATGATGGATTACAACCATTTATGATGATATAACAAATCAATTTACAGTCGCTTCTAAACTGTGACTCGGGTAAAATCAACCTACAGCCGTTTAATTGATCCCTATAACCTGTGGTTTGGGTTAAATCAGCTTCAACCCTTTTTCACGCATATAAGTAAAGGATCGTGTAACATCAACCTACAACTGTTAATAAAGAGCCATAAAATTGTAACCGATCATGTAAAGAAACGTTTAAGTGCATTGTAAATATGTTTCGGTATGAAGACAAGGGCATAAAAGTTATAGCATGTTAAGTCTCATTTCATTTTAAAGACACAATTTGCCTCAGAAACGAATGAATATTTCCTTCTTTAGAAATGAAAAGAACAAACACGACTTCTAAAACGTTTAAATAATAATTTAAGAGCATACTACATGCTTGTCATCATGTGAACTAATTTCTTATGAATGTCGCAAAAGGAAAACATTTTAGTATGTTGATTCAGAGACATAGATAATATTATCTACATCTCTGGTTGATTCCATATAAAATTCTTAATCATTGTAAATCTTCTAATTGCCAAAAAGCAACACATGAGCAAAAATGGTTCAGGTACATTGTAATTGGCCAGTGAGTATTTTCTTTTCTTTTGGAACTATAACAGGACATCAAAAATTACAATAAAAACTTTTTGAAAAAATAAAAGCATTTGTAGTGCATAATGGGCATTTAAGGTAAATAATGACAAAAATTTATTCGCAAGTTTATGTAAGCATTGTTAGTTACAATTCTTGCATAACTTTATAGACAAGCAAGCAGATGGTGAATAACTAAACAATTGTCAGATAAAGAGCAATTACAATGTAGTAAATTTTAACAATATGACCATGGAACATTCAAACTGTAAACAAAGAGTCTTTTAAACAATCTATGTCGATCTGTAATGTATATATATTTGTTTTTGCATATACGTACTTTAGAGGTAATTTTCAGGTTTGTGTGACTGTTGTATAATCTTAATCCACGAGAATTTAAATGAAAGCGGTACCGTACACGCACGCCGGCACTTTTCAACAAAGCGTTTTTTTTTAAGATAATGGTCTAGAAAGAGAGTGATTGCAATATACATGTAGATATTCTTACTTCTATGTTAGAAATAATGACTGTATTAATAAAAATGAACATAGATTATTCATCTGCTCTGTACGAACGAGGTCTGTTGTTCTATGCAGGAAGAGGACACTTCGTTTCAATATAGAATGATTCAACATAAAAGTGTGAAATGGAATAAAGAAATCGTATTCTATTCTACAGGAAAATGCAATCAACACTCCGTAAATTAATACTCATTTGCTTCATACATTTCTAAAGTATCACACAATTTCAATCTTTTTTGTATTAATTCGTACTTTAACTCAATGGATAAGTTGTCAAAAAGCTTTTTACAATCACTAACAGGATTGTCAACATTTGTTAATATTTTACGTTGTCTGATAGCAAATTTACTGTAACTTGGCGGCAACAGTACAGTTCCAGTAAATATAACATGTCCGAAGTATGCAATAACTGTACATGCTTCTTTAACAAGAGTCTCGTATTGTAGACTGTTTGCTTCAGACATCACTCTCAGACAAGTCCTTGCCCGTCTACTTCTATCCTCAAGCGATGTTGGTGTTTGGGCCAAGGCTAATTCCGACTTGAGCCAATCAGACATGACACTCTGACACCGTGTTATCATTAATTCAGCTTGATATTCCTCTGCTATGTGCACAACTGAAAGAACATTGTCTTCTGCAAACAGAACGAAAAAGTTAATATATGTTTCTAAATGATTTGATATGATATGATAATTATGGGAATCATCAACATTATAATAATATCTTTAAAATGTCAACACTTTTCTTACAATGTATGTACTCAATACTTTTCTGTAACTAAAGAATACGTATTAACATTTAGAATTCTGTTTAATATTTAATGTAATGTTGACATTGAATGATTTAGCAGATTTCTACAGCCTTTGCTATGAAGTTTACTTATAAACTAAAAGTTTTTAGTTCGATATTCACGATACTAAACATCTGGAAGTTCCATTTTAATGATTCTATGGGATAAGGGTTGATTATACAATATTTTAATCATAAGCGCGGCACGAACCATTTAAAATAATAAATCTAACAATAACAATGAAGAAAAACAACACGGAACACAGGTCCTCAATACCCTGAAACAACAGTATCCGGAAAGACAAAAAAACGTGTTAAAATAGCCCCTTTCAAAATTTCCATCTACAACATTATCTATATTTTAGAAGGTAGTAAGAATTTATATCCTTCAAGTTTCTACTTAAGTGCTTTCTTATCAAAATACAAACAAAAAGTGCATTGCACTCTTCTTTACGGTGGCACAAAGGTGACATGAGTGTGTTTTTATTTATCTCGTTCGCACGAGATACTATGTCGTGGCCACGAGTTCCTAAGTCGCGGCCACGAGTTACAAGGTCGTGGCCACGAAATAGTTAAGTCGCGGGAACGAGAAACTATGTCGTCGCCACGAGTTTCTAAGTCGTGGCCACGAGATAATTGAGTCGTGGCCACGAGATACTATTTCGTGGCCACGAGATACTATGTCGTGACCACGAGTTTCTAAGTCGTGGCTACGAGATGATTAAGTAGTGGCCACGAGATACTTTGTCGTGGCCACGAGTTACTAAGTCGTGGCCACGAGATAGTTAAGTCGTGGGCACGAGATAAATAACCAATCAGATTACACTATTTATATGAATTTAACTAATTATTTAGACGTGTGCTATCGTACAAGGATGCCCCTACCTCACCTGCCTGTAAAAGTGCTATTTATACAAGATATTTATAGGTCAATGATTTCATATTTAGCGTCATTGTGACCCTGATTTTTGACCCAATGGCCTCAGAATTATTAGGTGTTATCTACTGATCGGGTGCAATGATCTTTCTAGGTTATATAAACCATGGCTTATTCCTTCTAAATCATTCATCAGACAAGGTTTTACATGAAGTTTCACGTTTACTCTGACCCTTGACCTCAAACATCCTTATAGGCTATCTACTGTCCTTCTCAAGTTATCGTATAAACAAGATTAAAAGGCCGCTGTACGTACAAACTGACAAATTCTATCATAGAATTTTCCCCACAAAGGGCTATTAGTTAGTCAAAATTAATGTCTGATTTATGGGCCTTAGAAGGTGACTTTCTAATATGTTCCTTAATACATGTATCAAGTTTAAAGTGAACTCTTCAGTATTTAAAAAGATTTATGTTGCATGTAAAACTTTAAACAGAATTTGTTCTAAGTTTATAAAAATCATAGTCAATTGACCTATCTGATTGGTTATTATCTCGTGCGCACGACATAGTTATCTCGTTCCCACGACTTAACTATCTCATGACCACGACTTAGTAACTCGTGGCCACGACTTAGTAACTCATGGACACAACAAAGTATCTCACGTGCACGAGATAAATAAAAACATACACATTTCACCTTTGTACCACCGTACATTTTTACATAGTTACGTAATTTATTTAAGTGATAATTATGCCAATAAATGAGTTGAATGTGACTCTTCGGATAAAATTTAATTGAACTTTTTGTCATATTTGTTTTCAATTTTTTACTATATGTCACCCAAATTACTGACATAAATATTTATAAATATCTTTCGGAAATTGTCCCAAACGTTCAATTCATTTAAAAGGGTTGGGCAGTCCTTTTACCTTTTATGCACTTTTAATATCTAATTCTAAATGAAAGTATATGAATGACCGTTAAAAAGTCAATCGTTTAAAATATATTATAATTTAACTCAACTAAACAATGAAAACAAATGAGCATAATGTCACTTAAAATCTCATATCAAACTTTCATTTATATTTATAATTCCAAGTTTCTTTTAACATAACATAAAAGGTTACTTACTAGTAACAGACTTTTGCATGTTTGGATGTAAACAAAGTAAGAATTCCAAAACATCTTCGTACTTTTTCCCTGTCATGGTCACGCTTTTATTTTCCTTTTCCTTAAAGTCGTGCTCGAACATTGCTTTGAACACTGGGGAGACATACTTTAAAAAGTTTTGTGAAACATATAAACTTCTTTCGTCATCAAATACGAACTCTATTTCATCTATGCACTCTCCAGATTCCGTAAACGGCGTTGTTTCGCGTTTGATTTGCGTTTTACTCTCCTCCATTTTATCTAGTAACACGTTTTAAGAAAATAAAATAAAACTTGAACGTTAATGTTTTGTTTTGACGAATCAATAAAATACACTCCCAATTTTCTGAAAACATGTTCAAATTGGGTTGACATATATTAACTGTTATTTTTGGCTTGCAGCCACGGCTGCAAGCCATTTCATACGGAAAACTTATTCCGGTTAGGTGTTTTTCTGCTTACATTTGTAAGTGCATGATTAAACAGGAAACCAGTTGAAATCGTGCCAATCGCAACTTTTCGGCCTTTTTCGTCACTCTTCGGATTAATGATAATAGCCGATGTAGTTCCGATTGCAATTGTGACAATTCGGGCGATTCCGTCATACTGCAGAATCAATCGAATGCTGCGGAATCAGACGAAGTAATATTACGGAAATCTAAGCTATTTTAGTTACTTCGGTAATCCCAGTTTGTTTATATAAATAGGATTGATTTATTGATTTAAACCGTAATATATTTATAAACGAAATTGTTCCGTTTCAATTCTTTTTCAAGACGCAAAAGTTAGGTTATTTATAATTGTTTTTTTGTCTGTATTAGTTTTTATACAATAGAGATGTTGACTGTAGTAGTATTCTGTCTTCAAAGGGTGGTCCAATTCACGCATGATCGAGTTATATTTAGATCTACTGAACTTGGTGAGGTAATCTAAAAATAGTTCATGCATGCATATCATTAACCTTACCACGTGATGATCTATAGATAGCGATGCTTATTAATTGGTACCACGTAACGAAGTGGAACTTGTTTCCTTTCAGTATGATAGATAGGTCTTCACGTTAGTATTTTTACGATTGATTATTTTCTTTATTAGTTTTATACAATAGAGAATAGATTTCAAATCGTTTTGACAAAAATATTCGTTTTTACAAAAATAAAAACAACTAAATATGTTGGGATGAAGGCACAACTGTGCAAGCCTTTCCTTTTAAAAGGAAACTTTATTAGATTTTCAGATATAACATTAATGCGTGTTAAAAAGATAAAGCAATACAGTTTAATGAAGTTTGGTGCAAACTTAACCTGAATTGTAAAACGTATGAATTATTTCCATTTTAAAAAAAATCATTAAAATTGATCCTATACTTTAAACTTTAAAATATACCTCCTTTACCACTCTAATTTTCCATACCAATGAATTGTTATAGTGTGTATAGTGTACGTAAATGTAGTAACGCTTCTATTTATTACAGTCACGTTGGTATAAAGGCCCGTCTATCCGGTGCCGCGTAATAACCACAAGGGCGTAATATTACCACGGTTTAAACATGTTTTTTAAAACTTGCCTGTGACTTTGTTTACAAACAAAGCGCTTTGAAAATTGGCAAAAATCTTCAGCATAGAAGAATAATTTCGATGCATGTATTTGAATATGTTGACAGTATTTTTTTTATTCAGAATATATGCGTCCATACAAGTGACTGACATACTGCTGTAAAGAAAATTTTGGGGGTCTATTGTCGTGTTTGTTGGTTCATTCGTATTTTGATTTATTAATTTATTTATTTATTTTATTTATAATTCAGTTCTAGCCGTGAAGTAAAATTTATTGATATAATGAAAGAGTTATTGAAAGAAACGTGTCAAACAGATAGAATGGTCTTATATGATACTTAATTATCTATAATCAGTTATGTATTTGATATGAAACATTTATAACACTTTAGAATAATGTTTACGCAGGTAAGTATTTTGTAAGGAATATTTTTATACTGCTTTCTTTTACATAATTATGATCGATATTCGTTAATTACCGTCATAGTTTGATACACCACTCCAGGCATTACCAGAATGTAGGTCTACTATTGCACTGTTTTATATATAGTATATTTCAACAGCCAATAACAATTGTACACCCTTATATGAATGAGAGATACCTGGCAGAGAAAACAAGCTTGCACGCTAGCGGTCTATTGCAGCTGTAGAAGATTTGTTTAATTCAATAAAAAATGTTTGATAAATAGGAAGAATAGTTTTGTTAGTCAGTCTCCGGTCAAACAATCTTCCGAAGTATTCGGAAGTTATAGGAGCTGCAAAGTTTGGATACACTGTTCACTCAGTTATATAATAGTGAAATTGTAGCTATAGTGTTTTTCGAAACGTGAAATAGTAAACCGCTATTCAGAAATATACAGTAGATGTTGAAGGTAACATAACTAAGTAGTAGTAGTAACACAATATTAAACCAACGATATAACGACTTTTACTAATCCCTTAATAACATTTGATGACCATTATTAACGGTAATGAATTACATTAAAATCGACATCATTAAATTAATATATAGATATGATGTCGGTTAAGGGACGTAATCAACGGACCACTATGACTGTTCAAGGCAGCAGTTGCATACCTTCATATGACCATGTATCACACTACAGTGAAGAAGTATGTAATAAACATGTTTATTAAATAACAAATAACTTAATATTTCTCGGATTTAAGAGACGTTTAACATACCAATAGTTTTTCACAACCAACATTCCTTAGAGCGGGGTCAAAATGGACAGTTCATTGGTAAAACATTCTTGAAACAGTACATCAATATATTTCAGGTTAAAGCTGTTCAATATATTTCCTCGGTACGAAAAACGACATGCACAATACTTTTAAAAATGAATACAGATGACCGGCAAAAATGTTGTAAAGATATTAGAGAATCTCGAAACATCTGAACTATTCACACGGAGAATAGAGTTGTTAATTATGTTTATTACTATCAATGCACGCGATGTGAGTTGAATCTTGATTTGATCTTGTAAAATCTGACGTCATTAGCAGTTTCACTATTTCTTCTAGCGGCATCAGGGTAGAAACTTATGACAAGTAAACTCTGATTATGGTCAACAGAAACGGCACATGGGCTCTGCTCGGTAGATAAAATTTTCATACATTCTCCGTTATCATTTAAAATATGAACTGATTTGGATACAAAACCAGTTACAAAAATCTCGCCGTGTTTACCAACCGCAATCCCTCTAGGACAATGCAAACTTTGATTTTTGTATATAAAGCCACAGTGGTGACTTAACTGCCCGCCTGCTAATTGAAATGAATAGACTGCATGACTAACTTCATCTGCGGCGTACAAAGTGGCTTTTTGACGATCATATGAAAGACTGATAACCCTCTCAAATAGAGGGTCTACACGATTGGATGATTTCAGAGTCTGGACGCAATCACCGTTAACTGTGTATACCTTAATGCAATCTTCGCAAGCGAGAAATATTCTACCAACTGCGACAACGACACCGAAACAAGCGTCTATAGTAGAAAATTTTCTGCATGAGCTTAAAGGCCTACCAACGATTCTAAACAATCTTGATACTGCACCCTTACATTTAATTTCAAAGATACGCACAAGGCTTTCTTGGGGATATGTAACAACTACTCTGGTGTCAGACAATTTGCTAAAAAACCCAAGGGGGTGGTTTTTTTTTTTCCTCATAAACTAGGGTTTTTCCCCTTAAAAAAGGGGAAAAAGGGGAAGTGTGGGTTCCGGGGTTTGAAAAATCTTTAGAAATCATTTGAAAAAATTTCCCAACCCCGTGACCCAAATTTGGTGTTTAAAAAAATGGATTATTCCAGTACTTTAAGTATTGGAGTTTAAAGAACTTTTGCCTAATACAGTCGGTGTAAACATTTATTTACATCATGCTATTGGGCTTTTGAATTTTTGAAAAACAATATTATTTTAAAAGGGGGGCGATTTCCATGTTTTCCTTTCTTGCAAAATGGCCCCTCCAAATTTTTAGTTTGGGGACGGGGACGGTTTTGCCTTTTCTTGCCCCCGGGGGGCCATTTTTTTGTTTTTTAAAACCCTCCCGAGCGACCGTATTTTTTTTCATTTCCTGTAAAGGGGACGGCCAATTTAAATTTTTTGATTTTCCCTATTGAAGAAACCAATCATTCGAAAAACGACATAAAACGCTTTCTTTTTAAAGGGTTTTGGGCAGAAATGGACTGTATAAAACTTGCAAAGGGTGTATTTCTTTCTCTAGTTTCCATTAACATGTCTTTAACTTGTTTACAAGTTTGTTTTCCTTTATTACAGATTAGTTTTTTGGTAAGTATTTCGTTTGATAGGAGTCTACAATTCTGTTCAACTTTATCCATTGCTGATTGTTTTAATGTATCCAAGTGTTCTACAGCTGCTGTATATTCTTTTTCAACGGCGTTGGTCATTTTGTCTTTATCAATTTGAAGATTACTATCAGCAAGTGCGCATTTAGCCGCAAGGTCTGTAAGAACGTCTTCCGAATGTTTAATGTTCGCTACAAGTTCCTGTCGTTCGTGTTCATAATCAGATAACGCTAATACTTTTTCTATCTCGTCAACATGATCGCATTTTCTGTGTGCAGTCGCAACGCACATCGGACAGCAAACAGTCTCATGATCGAAACAATACAGGTTAACTTTGGAGTCTGGGTGTAAATCACAGTATATTGCGTCATCTTGTTGTGTAACAGTGGCTTCATCAATGACTGATACTATCCAATGATTTATAGGAAATTGCTCCGTCCATGTGTCTTTCCCAGAATAAGGGCGTGGTGGTCTCGTATTAGCTCGACAAACAGGACAAAGAAAGCTAGAAAAGTGCGCGTTCTGGCCAGCGTTTGTTATGTGACTATGGAGACAAGTGGAACAAAACGAGTGCAAACATGGTAATGTACGTGGTCTTTGATAAGTGTCAAGACATACCGGACACTGTATTGGTAATTTACTGGTGTTCACACAGGCTTCAGCCATCTGGAAAAAAGGTCAAACTATAGAAAATACATTTGTTTTTGTTTTTGCTTTTGTATTATTTTTTCTAAAAGATAATTAATAATTAAGTTGTATGTCATCTAAAAGGTGTTGTATTTAGCTATTATATCATTTTTGTGTGTAAAAGATGCATTCATATTTATTTAAGCTGAACAAGTAATAATAAATCTTACAGGAATCTTCACCAGACTAGTTCAGGTAAGATTTACAATATTTTGTATCAGACACACATGTATACATGTATAGAAATAGAATGACCGTACAATGGTTTTATTTGTATTGTATTTCATGTAAACAGCGGAAGGTTGCAGAGTTAAGTTGTTAAACGTTTTTCGTTTTGTCTCGATATGTGACCATAAATCAGTGTCTTTTGCGTTGATCATATCTATAGATCAAATAAAGTGTTTTAGATGACATAGGCCTGACGTAACGCTGTATGGACATGGATTTGAATGATGTTCCATTTAATAATTAAAGTATCCAAACGCACAAACGCGTGTACAAAATGCTGAATTCTTGAGCATATTTTAATTTCCATCCGTCAGCTGTTTACCAATGTTCTAATAATATTATCAAATTTCGATGAAATGTAAATCATTGTATAGTCAATACATCCCTAGATTTTGAGACCAAATATGCATATACTTTTATTCATTCTCACTATAACCATGTACACAGTTGTTTTTGCAACTGATTATATAAAAATAAAAAAGTTTGAGAAAGTCGCTCCTACAAGTTCGATTCGTTCAAGTGGAAAATACGAATAAATAAAATAGGTATTTAAACATCGCAATTTAACAAAGTCAACGCATAACTAAATACATGACTGTTTAAAGAAATATTAGCCCACTGGGCATACAAGTCAAATATTCATGAAAATAATTATTTTGCATGATTATTGTTACTTAGATTATTGTTTCAAAACGAACTTCTCAAATATTAATTAATACATTTAACTCTTACGAAAAAGGTTTTACCATAGAAATATGTAAAAAGGGAAATTTAATATTTACATTTTAATGGTTTTCCCAAATTTTATTTTATAAACCATTAAAATTTACAAAGTTGTTTTATCAACAGTTTTTTTAATTTAAAATTACCAAAATTTTAAAACGGGCAGTATTTAAAATAACTGCTTTAACGGGTTTAAAAGGGGTTCAATTTTTTGGTATTTTTTTTTAATTGTCAAATTTTTTTGTTGCGTTTTAAAGATGGGTTATTACTTTTTAAAATCCCAGTTTTGGGAAGGGAAAGGTTTAAGCAGCGTCCCAAAATTTTAAAAAAACGCCCGGGGTATCTATCAGGGGTTTTCTATGGGATGAGTTAAATGGGTTTCGCTTCCCTCATATTTTTTTTATTTTACTAAAGGAAAATACTTCTGAAAAGTACTATGTGTATCTTTTCCCCACGTTTTATATGTGAGTTGATCAGAGATTAATTCAATGAAACCAGTCTTCAAATGTTTACTCAGTTAATATGTTCGAATGATGATGATGATGATGATGATGATAATGATGATGACGCTAAAGGAATACTCAGGCAAATAAATTAGTAAATATCAAATTTATAATATTTGCTCAAATCACGCTATGGGGTTTTTAAAGTCCCAGCATTTTTTTTCTATCTAAATACTATATAATGTGAGTTTGAAACGTGAATAAATCTACATAATTATGTTGAACGAAAGAAGACGCAGACAGAATCATTTTGTAGTCTTAAAACAAGAAATTTAACAATAACAAACCATAGAAGTTAAAAGAAAAACAGATAGTGGCTTATTTGACAGGTTATTTTACGTTTCCATAGTTCACTAAAATCCAAATGCTCTAACCTGACCCACGTGGGTCAGGTTAGGAACCAACATTATTTTCTTTATATAGAGAAAATATTTGTTCCCAATACTGCTTAGTTTATACATTTCGATGACATGTATATAATGTTGGAAGAAAAATTCAAGTCGAAGATAAGAAAGTTTTGCCTGTGACTCCTTTTAACAATGATAGCGATAATATAACGACGACAACGATGATGATACTGATGATGATTGTGAAATATAAAGATAATGATGGCGACGACGATGGAATAACAATGGTATTTATGTCGGTTATGATGATGATATTGATCATGATGATGATGATGATTAAAATTATTATTGTATCGTAATCGTCATCTTTATTAATATATTTTATCTAGCGTACTAATTTGATTCTACCTATATGTTCGCACTCACAGATAAAAATGAAGAGTAACTAAGATTTTCCACGTCATAAATTTCTCGTCCCGTCAAACCCAACCTCCAATATTATTATCATGTCAGTAAAAGGAAAGTTTATAATATATATCTATAATGTCTTATTTTGACAAAGGTTAGATACTATCAGTTCTTTAAATGTCACAAGTCAACAGATATCTCAGTTTAAAGGTACTGTTATGGTAAAACTCTAAAACTTAATATCACTTTACATATTTGTAAATACTTTCATTGTTGATAAAACTTCGTAAAACAAAACCCGGTATTGGAATTTGAAACTTGATATTGTAAGAAAATCTGTAAAGTTTTGTTTTTACACTTACGTACGTAAAAAAATCCGTACTTGTTCAACAGCTAAGTGAAAGTTGAAAAATGGAATGTTGGATTATTATCTATTTTAATACATGTTTTATTGTTTATAATTTACTCGTTCATAGCATAGGTAAGTGTGAAAAATGTCTTCGACTATAACATGCAAGTTGCGTGACTTGATTACGAAACATTTACAAATCCTAAATAATTTTACTATTATTTGAATGGAAAACTAAAACTAGAATTACACATATACAATATATAGTTATATTTATTCAAAAGGTCTATTTATCAGTAAGAGCTTGCTTTCGTTAAAAAATGAAATATAATAAAACTTTGATTAACATTAACCGTTTTACATCAGTAAAAAAATGTATTGAAACAATCATAAAATAACTTGCTGGATTAATTTCTTTTTGTAAAGGTATATATTTTATACGTATTACCAGTTTTTTCCATTTTATTGCATGTTTTGTAAATATTATTTTCAAGATAAAGAACATTAAAAAATAAAAATAAATGCTTGCATGATATTATTTCTTTTGCGAGTTTGGAATGATTTTGACTTTTGCGTATATTTGTCATGTTTCTTTTTACTTTATATGTAAATATGTATTTTCTGTCATAAACTATTTTGATTTAGATTGTCAGTGTGTGTTACCATTAACCAAAGGAACATGGCTATCATCGTCACGTGGTACATGGACAATACCTGAAAACAGAACAGAAATTCAGAATTTTAAAGCCTCCCTGACCCCATCTGTGACAATACATGATTTAGCGTGTTACAGTTCATCCGGAAATCGTTATATATTGGGGTATGTTGTTCTTGTTCTGGTTACCATACAAACAATTCCTTTCAACAGCCATTATGGTCTTCTCAATAAGGAAGTCGCATTTTTATAACCACAGACACAGCGCGTGTTTTTATAATAGTGTAATTCATATTTATGACGAAATTGTTTGGAAAACTATATCCCATGAGTATATTGCAAAAAATGGCCGTTTTCATTAAAAAGCCTCCTGTAACAAGTTCAAACTGCTATGGAACTATGAAAAATGGTTCAATACTGATGTTGACTAGACCATAGCCTCTGTAACAACATGTTCAATCGTAAATTTCCTGTTACCATGGAACCGGGGGGACGTCTCAAAATTGCCAAAAATCACTATTTTGCATTTTCCCCTATCAAAACTGATTTCAAAGTGCTGCAACTTCTTAATGAATTGAGACAGAGTAAAAGGCTTCTCAGCGTCGATTACTAGGTATCCTTAGATCGACCTGAGGCTATTTTAGCCTGTCACACGTCCAAAATGTTCTTGGAGATGAGAGGGACTACCGTCCCCCTTCATACCCCCCCCCCCCAAAAAAAAAAAAATAAACAGAAGGGGACATATCCCCCTTCTGGCAACCCCATGATGTATCATTTTGATGGAGCAGCGCCGAAAAGTGTTAATTTTTTAACAACATTTCTCAAACGAAAAAGAGTGTTTGGGGCCGAAATAGGGCATTATTTCACAGTTTGGGGCCTCAAAAAAAGGGGGGGGGGCAAAAAGCCGTCAAAACACGTCTATATGAGGGGAAAGGTTAAGCATTGTTTCGGGTGACTCAAGAAGATAATTTTGCTGTTTCATGTGGAATCATTTGACTTTTATGCAAAACCAATATATGATTTACTTGTTTATGCTGATGATCTTGATATCTTCCCATGACGTTATTTCACTAACTATTCCTTTTTTATTCGAAACTATTTCAGAACAAGTATTCAACTCTTCTCTACCATTTTCATACATTCCTATACCTGTCTTGAGATAAGGACAACGTCAAATTCACCTTCTACATACGAACTTTATTTTGTAACAGGTATGTTAATTTGTCTGAACTATTTTGTCTAAGATTATTTTCTGTTCTTGCGTATCAGTTTTACTTATATCTGTTCTGATTATTGAATATTTACGCAGGTGACCGATAAACCTAGAGGTTCGTTTCATTTCTTTAACAAATTCTGCCCGAGCGGGTCTTATTTTCTTACTTACAATATTTTTTTGAAAATAAACTTCATATTTTAGAGTTAAGAAATTGTTTGCAAATCATTTTTATATCATCACCTCGTGAATTAAAGGTTAAAACTCTATACAAAAATACTATCATTACTTATTTATTGTTAATAACTTTTTCATATACTTCGGCTTCATTTTATTCATAATTTTCATTTTTTTATTTTTTTTAACGATAAGCTTTAAGGTGTGAAACCTGCTACATCGATGCATACATGTACCAGTGGAACCAATGCAGATATCGATAGCTATAAGCATTTATACGCTGTCGTGATTTTATTCTTCTTTTTTTCTTTTTCTTTTTCATACTTTTGAAAATCAAATTATTGGCGCTCATTCACAGTATATATCATATATTTTTGGTTGTTGTTGTTTTTGATCTTGTTGGGTTTGCTAACATATACCACCTGATCTAACATCAAGTAAGCTGTTTTCTAACGCAGCTGAATTTTTTTTATTTTTTACAAACCTGGTAGATTATTTACTCTATGCTAAATGCTTATTATTTACATAAGTTTATAGGATTTTATATGTATTTGTACCGACAGTTCAAACTCGTCGATTTGTAATTTTGTCCTAATATACATACGTACGATCTATATCATTTGTTTTAACTGCAACATATTTGCGTATGTAATAATAATTCAAGACTTACACAGGATTCTTAATGGCTAATTTACAACGCCTGCAAGATATTCTGTCTTATACATGCATATAATTATCTTTAAAATAATAGTATGCCATACATCACATATAACTTTTGAATGACAAGATTCCATTTCCATACATTTTCATCATGACATTTTTTACGATCATATCGATAAAAAATGTCTATCTTAATTACTAAGGCTAATAAATTATTAAATTCTATTTATGGTTTAAAACAAATATATATTTTTTATCAGATATTGACGTTTCTACCGGTGAACCATTCAATTCTAATGTCAGTGCGGTTTGTGACGGGACAGTGGAAGAGACGGGTGTTAATACCAATATTATTGTCGCAGACGGTATTATATACGATTATTGTCAAAGTCTTATGATAAATAGACTTTTTTTAACAAATACTAATATAATCAAAGTCTCTTACGAAAAATTTCTTTTATCAAGGTAAAAAAGAAATGCAATTAAGAAGTCAATAACGGTAACAGTTTATATTGAAATTAAAACATTTTATTTGTACAAAATACTTATGTTGTTAAAGAACGGATATCAATAAATATGCACATAACTTTATAAAAACAAACTGAAAGGTAATAAATAAAATGTCGTTTTAACATTTTTGATATAATAAAATGACTCAAATTGTCATTTGTTTTATTTTTGTTTTGACGTACAGGAGTAGATATAGAAACGGTAAAACAGAGCTTACCGGATGTTATAAGAGGTGAATATATAGTTACAATCACTGACCAGAATGGTCAAACCAGTAACCAGACGACAATGTCGTCGTGTAATGACACAAGCGCATTTTACTTCACCGAGACAGGCAACGTGACACAAATTGTCAGCGCTGTTGGCTTTTCAGGTAAGATTTGAAATCAAGATGCTTCACACTAGAATATAATGAATAAACGCACATTTCCCCATAGCAACAATTGACCTCGAGCTTCGTTACCCCATAACTGGCTGGAACCAAATGTGATAAGCCTTTGACACCATATAGAGCCAGACAAACCTATACTTGAAATCAGTCGAGGCTCTATACTGTTGGTAGCTCACTCTCTTTATATTTCTGAATATTTGAATGTTGTTTCAGATTCAATGCATTGTACACATCTTGTTTCAATTGCCAGTAAGATTATTGATTTACTTTAATTAGATTTATTGAACTTGCTTTTCAAAACCCCAGTATGTTTATGTCTATCAGTAGTAAAAGGATTATTTGGCTTTTATTCTTTTAATTTACTTTCAGATTCCGGCATCCTATACAATTTAAAGTCTTTTTCTTCGGTTGGCGTCACGTTTATATACACATACAACATTGATACATCTGTGGATTCTTCAACTACATACAGATTTAGCTGCTGGGTCGGTATAATTTGTTGATATAATATAACTTTACAAATTAATAAAATTTAAAAATGGAGATCTGCTGGTGCTATTTAATCTACTTTTTTATTCTTTCGAATTATTGCACACGACAGAACAAAACACAGTTATCTTTTACGCACATACATATTTTCTCTTTTTAGATATATTGACGCTGTGTTCAGGCATAATTGTATTATGGTACTTTTTTAATTATTTTAATTATCTAATAGTTTCAAATCATAACATTAAAAAAAATAAAAATAAAGCTAATGGGTAAATTAACATAACGGTTTTTTTCAATACGAATATCTTTACCATTATGATCATTGTGATCGCCATCGTTATCATCACCCTTTATCATCATCATCATCAACATCCTTTTCATCATCACCCTTTTAATCATCATCATCATCTTTTTCATGATGATGATTATCATCGTTATCATCATCCTTATCTTCCTCATCATCATCATTACCATCGGGATGATAATCATCATCATCATCATTATCATCACCGTCATCGTAATCAGCATCATGATCATTATCATCATAATCATAATCGTGATCGTCATTATTATTCTATTTCTTTTCACCATCATTATCATCATTATTATTATTATCATCATCATCATTATCATCCTTATGATTATCATCATCGTGATCACAATCATCGCCATCATCATCATTCCATCATCAACACCATTCTAATTATAAGAAAAGCAATTAGGATAAAAATGAATCAGCTGAAGAAATAGATTTGCAAATAACATTAACAATATATATCGCACAAGTACGATAAAAAATGTTTATCTCATAACAGTCCTTTCATAATATTAAATAGAATAATTTGGTCATTGTTATACATTTTAGGCTGTTTCACAAGTGTCTTCTACAGTATATGCTACAGTGTATCCGGAAGTTTGCCAGGACGGCCAGAATTCCACAAGTGTTCCTAGAGGTGGCCAAATTCTTATTCTGGAGGCATCGGGTATTGAGTTCAAGATTGCAAATCTTTTAATCAGAAGTCAATTTTATCTTAAGGCGTTGTTAACTTGAGAGAGTAAAAGAAAGTGTCATAGATAATAAAGAAGTATGAATTAAAAAAGAAAGAAAAATATTTAACAAAATGAAAATAAAGAACTTTAAGACTTATTAAAGGCACATAATATCTCAGACACGAATCCATTATAACTTCTATATAAAGAATATACATGAGTTATTAAAATTGCAAAATACTATTTCACTGTAATAGAGTAATTGTCAATAAGCCACAGAAAAAAAAACGTAACGTCAGGTTATTGGCCAATGCGTGTTTATTTGGAAACTATAAAAGCACAACAGAAATAGAAAACTTTTTAGAAATAGAAATAAAAGCATTTCTGGAACAAAATTGGGCCTTTATATGTTTGTTAACCGACAGTAAACAATTTGATAAAAGCGCTGTGGCTGCATTTAGAAAACACATAAAACATTTATAATTTGTAAATTTGTTTATTGATAGGTGCAGTGAATTTATGACATGCTTTGTATTTCAAACTATTATTCATTTTATAATTATTTATTCATTTATAATATATTACAGTAACCTGTCGTAAGTATAAAATTTAGATTTAGTTCATCTTTCAAGTGGGAGTAGCTTCATATCATGGGCATATTAATTACACCACATATATATTCTTGTATTATGATTCAACAAAAACAACATACACATATTCGAGCAAGTATGAATATAAATTTATATGATGCATTATATATATATATATACATGTATCTTGTCAAATTAATTCAATACAATATATGAAGTTTACCTCTCCGTAAGTTTTGCTTGACAGTGGTAATCTATTTAGCATTGTTTAATTTGAATGTCCTTTTGTCATGATATTCATTTTTAATGATGATATACCATTTTTTGTATACCTTCTCCACTTACAAGTATTATTGTAAGTATATGCTTTACACTGTCATGTCATTTATCATATGTGTCTGTTTGTTTGTCCTCATGGACCATTTGGTCCAATGGAATATTGAAATCAAACTTTTTAAAACTTATATCAAAGTCATGTTCAATAAATCCATATGGTTTGAAAACATCCCAGTTTTGAAAATGTCTAATTTTGGGTGGCCAAAAGTCTATCAGTTTAAATAAAAATTATGTGAATTGGTCAATGATAGAAGGTTTAAAGTACCATAAATAATAATGTTGAATGAATAAAATATTGATACTGTTTGTAAGGATGAGATATATATTATATCTGATATAATATAATTATTTATGTAACGGAAAAAATATTCATATTCAAACAATTGTTCTAGAAATAATATTTATCATAACAAACCACTTAGGAGTTCTATAACATTTGTCAAAGCAATGGTTTATGGGGGTATCAAAAATAATAAAAAAATATATAATTGTTCTTATAAATATTTGACATAATTATGTCAAAGCTGTCCATTACAGACCAATTCACTTAAATTAGTATACAGGTGAATATAAATTGATAATAAATTATAAGTTTATTCCGTCAATAAAAAAGTATGCTACAGTAGTTTCATATATAATTGCTTAAACATTCTCCATATCGGGAAAACAATGTCGTTATTTTTAGGTTAATACTGTGAAAGATCCATATTGAAAACCTGCATGTAGAATACTGGTCTTATTGAGAATTGTATTACGGTTAGATGAATTAAAGTTTCAACTTGTTCTTGTTGCTCCACAGCTTAAAGCTCATGATAATTCCCTGGTCCGCTCTTATCTTAACAACACATTCAAACTCGATTGTAGTAAACACTACCTTTAACCCAAAATCTTCTTTTCGGCATGTTTTTGTAAAAATGTAAAAAAAAACTTAGCTTCTTAAACACATAAAACGTAATCAATTGAATAGTTCTGTGACATAACAAGGTCTTCTTCCGTTAATATAACGGCTGGTGGACCCACATCAAGAATGTCTGTTGAGACAACTTTCGTGTTTTTTATATATCTGTTTTTTCAGCGGCCTCTACTAGTGATGATTCGGGTCTAAGTGCGGTGGTTATTGCTATAATTGTTATAGTGTGTGTCCTAGTTCTTCTCGCCGTGATTATAATTGTTGTCTGCTGCATCAGAAAAAAGATAAGACAGGTAATTCAATTAATATATGAGCCGTGTCATGACAAAACCAACATAATGGGTTTGCGACCAGCATGGATCCAGACCAGCCTGCGCATCCGCGCAGTCTGATCAGGATCCATGCTGTTCGCTATCAGTTTCACTACTTGTAATAGACTTGGTAAGCGAAGAGCATGGATCCGGATCAGACTGCGCGGATGCGCAGGCTGGTCTGGATCCATGCTGGTCGCAAACCCATTATGTTGGTTTTGTCATGACACGGCTCATATGCTAACAATAATCAATATATAATGATTGGTCTGATTTGCTGTTGTTTCCTTTAAGATACGCTTTTTTGTGTGTAAAAGTGTCCAAATGTCGGAATAAATGAAAGGGCGCAAGTGACATGTGGCTTTAAATTCGTTGTGACATAAGTTTTTTGTAAAAGATTCTTGTATTTTCATCAACGGAGATTAGGTAATAATTCAAAACAAAGATTTTAAAGAAACAACCAAACAAGCAAAATACGTGATTTTATTTTGTTACAGTGTCAAGAAAATTTACATTATGTTTTCAAATTATAAGATAGTAGAACGAAATATAACTGTGTAAGCCGCATTGTTTTTAAGATTCAGTGCAACATAGTTATTATTCATTGAATAAATTGTAATAATAATTGAGCCGTGTTACGACAAAACATAATTGGTTTGCGATCAGCATGGCTCCAGACCAGCCTGCGCATCCGCGCAGTCTGATCAGGATCAATGCTGTTCGCTATCAGTTTCTCTACTTGTTAGAGTTGGTAAGCGAACAGCATGGATCCTGATCAGACTGCGCAGATGCGCAGGCTGGTCTGGATCCATGCTGGTCGTAAACCCATTATCTTTGTTTTGTCGTGACGCGGCTCATATTTTGTTATTTATTATTGTAGGACCAATCTCAATCACAAAAGACGACGGAGGAATCAAATGTTAAACCTGGAATGAAAGGTAGCAAGATAAACTAGAATATTCAATTCTGAATTTTGTAAAAAATGTTTAATTTCACAATCTCACGATATTCAAAACTGTTATGCCTTATTTAAAATTAATATCAACCTTATCCAGTCTGTATCAGTTATTGTTCATGACTCTTTAATTGTATACATATTGTAATTCTGTCACAAAACAGCTTTGAATGATACTTTTGGGACCACAATCCAATTCTTTTTATATTTGATGTCAATATCATCAAAGTGAGCTAACATGATATCAGTCATTGAACTACATGTAGATCTATATGTAAGATCAATATATGCAGATCACCACTTTAAAGTATTTCTATTATTTCAGGTACGAAACGACCGAAATCTTCTAATGACCTTGATTCAGCTCGTCTCATTAATGAGCAAAATAAAGCTAAGCTAGCAAAGAAATTAGCAAAAAAGAAAGAAACTCGTACGATTGCTGTACAAGCCTCGATCTGGACAGCGCCGATAAAAAGGACAACGACAGCCCTTTCGACTGAACCTCTAAGATCCAACTCTCAAAGCTCCTTGAAATTTATCCCGTATATCCGTAAACAAGTAGTCATTGCAAAGCCGCCAGTCGAGATGAACAACGTGACAAGGTCAAAAACAACGCTGGAACATAATAACCACAATAGCAAACATCCTACCGTAACAAGAGCTAAGACTACATTAGATAAAAATGATGGCGTTACAAAACATGTTCCGAAATACTTGGTAAAGAAAAATACAGTAAATAATCCGAGACAAAAGATATTGAGACACATGTCTGTAATCAGTAGACATTCTACCGATTATTATGCTAATGAATTTGAAAGGCGTTTTCCATTTCCTAATGAAGGAAATCCGAATGAATATCACAATACTTTAGACATTCCCGATGAGACTGAAGGATTTCAAGACACAGATGTGAACCAGCCTTCGATAACAGCCCCAAAAGACAACGCACAAAGCATTAAGAAAGAGAGGGAAGTGGGATTTCGTGTCGAAAATTTAAACCATCGAGAAAATACAAAGAATTCCCTACGGTCCCGGCCTTCAACAACTGACGGAGTTTTAGGTGTTAAACTGAAAAACACGCCAGGGTCCATCCGGAAAACTTATTCAGAAGGTACAGACCATTCTAAATCGATCTTGAAGTTTAGCTATAACTCACCCTATGCTATGTCTGAAGCACAGAAAAATTACTCTTTACAGAAAGCTGCCTGGATACGACATCAAATATCTAAAGACTTACACAATAAAAAGCATATTGAACAAATGATAAAACTTGAAGGAGAAAGGGCATTTGATAAATGGGTAATCAACAAGCGAAAATCAATTTCAGTAACTCGCAGAAAATACTCAAAAACTTCATTTAAAACGCATAAAACTGACTCGTCAGTAACGGGTAGTTCTAAAACAGATGACACAGTAAAGGAAAGTTCTAACGACGCCGTGGAGTCAATAAAGGATGGTTTAAACACAGTTGAATCAGTAAATAATATTTCCAACTCGTGAACACAAACGTATTTATCCATTTTTATTACAACAATTGAAAATTTTAATGTGTTTTTAATTGTTACAAGCATTTTATTCAAATTATATTATTTTCCGACTCAGTCTAAGATAATTTGGATAGACAATGTTGTGAAATATGAATAGTAATCGAGTGACCAACAGCATTAAATCTGATTCAAAAGAATGGTGTAGTACTTTGGTGCCGTTGGTATTTGTAAGATTTGAGGTTGGTTTTTTTGTGTGTTTTTTTTGTTTTTTTTTTGTTGGTGTTTTTTCATTTTTTTTCATTTATTTTGCTATTATTATTATTATATTATTATTATTATTTATTATTATTATTATTATTATTATTATTATTATTATTATTATTATTATTATTATTATTATTATCTATCACCATCATCATCATCATCATTATCATCAACGTCATTTTCATCATCATCTTCATCATCATAATCATCATCATCATCATCATCATCATTATTAATATTATTATTATTATTATAATTATTATTATTAGTTTTTTTGCTTCTGCCTCTTTTCTCGCCGTAACAACAACATTGAACAGTTTTTTTTAAATATTGACTTACATAAAAATAATATTAAAAATAATATAATAACCAAATACCTTTCAGATCAATAAACGCACCCATATCTGTCAATCATAACGTATTGATGTGTAATGTACTATGGACAGATGTGATAAAATATTAATGGTTATTCTTATGACCATATTTTGTTATTTGTTCATGAATCAAACACTTATTAAATTGCATCACAGAACATATAAATAAAGCATGAATTGCAATTCATTTTGGAACCATAAGTGATGTTTTGGCGTTCGAATACAAACATAAATCTAATCATTCTTTTCAGCAAATACATACCAAATGATGAAAACAGACAAACAATACCGTATACATTACCAACACTTACTTCACAGGTCTTTGTTGATGAAGATAAATATAAAGTAGAGTGAAGTTAATACAAACAGTAAGCTTTTACCGGTGGACGAGAAACTGCATTGAAATTTTACAGCGTATTAACATATTACAAATCGAAATATTAAAGATTTTTCAGAGTGACAGAAAAGCGATAATATAAATCATTTTAGGTAACCTTGTTGCGATAAACAAACAATAGTCTAAATGTCCATTTTAAGGCGTGAACCCCCGTTCCCCCCCCCCCATGTCTACGCTCTGAAGAATAGGTAAATAGGCTAAAATAATATAATTACTGTCAACTGCATGGCGTGGGATCAAACACCAGAACGGGAAACTTCAATCGAACCCGGAATCTCAGGAGTGACAGTCAGTGGTCTAACCAACTGAGCTATCGTTAAACGTTTAAACAGCACCTCTTTCTTAACAAATTGACCAATATTATTAAAACTAAGTAGGAACTTGCCTTGCTATAAACCCTTTAAAAATTGTTCGAAAATTCTATTTCATGCTAAATTTTATTTTTCATGGCAACCAAAAGAAAGAAGCTTAAAAAATGTTCTTGTAAAAAACCGAAAGAGCCAAAGCTTATTTATTTGGCATGTGACATGAAACATATTAGAGTGGATGTCTACAAAGTTTATTCAAACAAAAGCCCTTTACTTCGTTATTTGTATATAGAAATAACTATATGCATTCCATGCAGTTACGTCCTATGTTATTGTTTGGCAATATTGATCTGAGACATTTTAATATTTAATGACCTTTTGTCGGTAATAATCGGATTCTGAAGAAAAACTTACGGATATTAAAGTATGGCATAACGGTATACTACGGAATGCCGTTAGGGCCATTGCCTATGAATGTGTTGATCTGAAACGCGATAGTCGATAGTACGATGGTGAAAACGCGAAATCACGAAACTACGATGGTGAAAACGCGAAAGCACGATGATGAAAATGCGAAGGTACGATGATGAAAACGCGACAGTACGATACTACGATGATGAAAACGCGATAAACTATCGTGTTTTCACCATCGTACTGTCGCGTTTTCACCATCGTAGTTTCGTGATTTCGCGTTTTCATCATCGTACTATCGCGTTTTCGCCATCGTACTATCGCGTTTTCACCATCGTACTATCGCGTTTTCATCATCGTACTGTCGTGTTTTCATCATCGTACTATCGCGTTTTCACCATCGTACTGTCGTGTTTTCATCATCGTACTATCGCGTTTTCATCATCGTACTATCGCGTTTTCATCATCGTACTATCGCGTTTTCACCATCGTAGTTTCGTGATTTCGTGTTTTCACCATCGTACTATCGACTATCGCTTTTCAGATTAACACATTCATAGGCGATGGCCCTAACGGCATTCCGGATATAACTGTTACTAAGTTTTTGTGCATGCCAATCACCTACTGTACAACTGTGCAAATTGAACTGTGAAAATTAACATATGCATCTATATTTCATAGTTATGATTTTCTTTTATGAAAATACACAAAAAGTGAATAATTGATTCATCCACTAATGCTGCATACAATAAAAATATAATCAAAGAAATCTAAAAAAAATATTCAGTTGAGTTTTCGAAATTGCCACTTCGCGATTGCTATGCTATACTTACCACTATGCCATTGGGACGTTAGTATAAATGAAGTATTGAGCACTTTCTAATCTTTAAATTTCAAGTAGTAACTCGTAATAAATTACGGAAACTCAAGAAAAAAGCTCCCGAAAATTAACGAGTCAAACAATAAGACCATGTTACACAACTTTTATGATTTTATATCATAAATTGTGCATATGACCTCTACAGTAGACTTTTCTTAAATAATAGCCCTCAGCTCAAAATTGGCCCTGCCCCGGAGAAAAATTGATTTTATTTTTATGTATATGGTAAAAAACTTTTTAAAAAATCTCTTAATCTACAAAAGCTAAAGCTCAGTTTCGATATCATTTAGTGACTTCATAGCAGCCATTTACTTTATAAAACTGTAAAATATCATGGAAACTAGTGACTTCCAAAGCAAACATTATCTTATCTACCATTGAATTTCATAGCAGGCAATGGCTTCCTAGGAAACAATTTATTTTGTACATCAACCAGTATCTTCTTATGGAACTGTTGTTTAAAAAAAGTAACCAGTAATGATTGTGCATTATTTCAGATACAGATATGAACTTTGTGATATCAGTTAAAGATTTAGATTTTACGTTTGCTTTTGTTTATAGCTAACAATATAACTTGTTCCTTGTCATGGAGAGTATTGATATTCAGATGAGCGATATAAGGGCCATCATGGCTCTCTTGTTTTTAATGAGAAAATATTACTGGTGATTTCAGACAGAAACTTTGAATGTCTGTTAGCTATAGCGTGCAGATGCATACAGATTTGCCGTCTGTCGTCGAAAAGAAATTACAAAAACGTGGATCACACAAGTGCCCCTTTCTCCGATTGATCATTGTCGTTGCTGTCGTTGTTTTGTAATGTTCTACCAATTTTATGTTTGATTGACCTGTGATAAATAATTATATAGAACGAGGGAAATATTTCATGGTCATAATTAAAGTATTCCGTTGTCCTTGCATTGTGTAAACGATCTTTCCGGTTCACATTAAATAAAAACACTAAAAGCAACAACAATAAAATGTATAGAAAATAACATTAACATTTGCTCAGTTGTCTGCCTTTACAATATGAAGCTCTTGTACCGTGTGTAATTAATTATACAATATACTACAATTTTATGTACAAAAAACGCCACAGACTATACATTTGAACGTTTCCGGGCACATTCCTATTGTGATAAATATAGGTATTCATGCCTTGCTTTTCAGAACGAAGAACCACTTAACCCTTTAATGATACCAATGTCTCTAAGATGTAAATATTTGTATTGGATTATTGCAAAATGTTTAAAACTATCTAACACAATGTTTGATACTATCTAACACAATGTTTAATACTTTCTAACACGATGATTGATAGGAATGGTGCTACTACTTCACCTGCCTGTCACAGTGCCATATATACAAGTTATTGACTGGACAATGACATTACATTAAACGTCATAGTGATCCTGATTTTTGACAAAGTTATTAGGTGTTATCTACTGATCGGGTGCAATGTCCATTCAATGTTTTATAAACCATGGCTTTTCCTTTTCAAGTTGTTCACCAGACAAGGATTTTGCATGAAGCGTCTTGGTTACCTTGACCTTTGACCTTATTACCTTACGCATCAATATAGCTCATTTACTGGCCATTGGTATTGTCCCTTCCAATAAAATAAACCAGTGCATATTCTTTTTCAAGTTATAGTATGGACAAGTTTAAAAAGGCGTTAGGACGTACATACTGATCAATCCTATCACAGGACGGCCCCAAAAAGGGTCTTTACCTAGTCAAAATTCATGTCTGATTAATAGGCTTTAGATTGTGACATGTATGTAGCTCAAAATGAATACTGTCAGTAGTTTAAAACATTAATATTGTATGTAAAACTATTATAAGGAATGTTTTAAGTTTAAAAAAATAATATTTATATATATTGTGTAATCCGATTGGTTAATTATCTCGTGAGCACCACTTAATTATCTCGTGCGCAAGACTTAGTTACTAAAGGCCACGACATAGTATCTCGTACTCACCACTTAATTATCTCGGGCACACAACTTAGTGACTCGTGGCCACTACATAGTATCTAGTGCGCACCATTTAATTATCTCATGCGCACGACTAAGTAACTCATGGGCACAATATTATATCTCGTGCGCATCACTTTCTTATCTCGTGCACACGACTTAGTAACTCGTGACCACGACATAGTATCTGGTTCGCACTAATTGATTATCTCGTGCACAAGACTTAGTAGCCACGGCATAGTATCTAGTGTGCACGATATAAATTAAAACACACATATATCACTTCTGTGCCATCGTAGATAAGACTTTTTCGGATTTTTGTTTTCAATTTGATAGCAACTTACTACACGTAATTTATCAAAATAAACAAATAAAATCATAAAGAAATTGCTAATATAGAATCAATAATCAAATTACTTCAACATTTCATTCATAATATTCATAATATCTTCATTGACATTAGGCATGTAACACATACAAAACATCGAAAAGGAGGGAGAGGAGCGAGTATTAGGCTTCAGTCAAGACATCAGCAGCCAACTTTCATACAAAATTATTCGTTTCGACCTACCTTCTATGGTAAATGTGGCTGCCTTAACAACACAGTGAGCTGTAGTTACACATCGCAAAGAATCTAATATAGTATATCATCATCTGATGCCCTGTGCCTCTCCAGGACTTACACCACGCTTTAGAAGGTAATCAAAACTCTTTTTATATATCAAATGACATTCATACAAGCCATTTGTCACGTGGCAATGAAGAAAAAATATACTGCTGGATATTTGTTAAATTAAGTGCGTGATCATTAGTGTTTGATGTTTATAAATCACGTCTACCCGGATGGAACAGATAAACGAGCAAGGTTTTCAAATGATGTAATAGTGCTACTCTTGATGCTGTTGAACTTTGAGAGAACACGTGAAGTAACACAAGAATAGAATGTATTAAATAACAATATAATATATACCATTCTTTCTTTTTAAAGAATTTTTTTCTCGTAAATCTATATTTCGTGTTGCAGTTTTGTAAATCATGGAGTCATTTTATGTAGCATCGATGAATAGATATGAAGTTTTCATTTCTTATTTATAAGGTCTTTTATCAAATATTGTTTAATGCCATTAACGTACACTGACATACTTAACAAAGGGAAATTATACACCATAGAGCGTTTTATTGTATTCATTAAAAATATGTCAACACACGTTGAATTTACTAGACATTGTGTTCTAAATCATAAAAATTTTATAACTGCGGTATTGATATGGAGCAAATTTGATATAACTGGTTTTGTTTATCAACTTAAACGTCAATATATCTTTTTTTAAAAAAAGAGTGAAACAGTTTCTGTTTATTTCAGGGTGTTATTAGAAGAAATCAAGAGAATAGGTGATTTGTACTTTGTAAAAATTAATAAAATATCACATCTGCATGCAGGAACTGTAATGTGCTCTTTAATGTTTTTAAGTTACATTGTATATGCGAAACCATTCAAGCATTGTTATAAAACTGAATTATAAAGGTTAACAGAGCAAGATTTATTAACTAGAAACTGATATTTAATAACACTTTCATAAATAAATAAAACTTAATGCAAAATTTTATCAAATATCAAAGTCATTGGCTTTTATGAATCCGTTAACAACAGTTGAATTTATTGTTTTGAATAAATAAAGGAAAATTGGAAAATCATTTTATGATTGTTAGCAGCTAAGCTTCGGAGTGTCAGAGCTTCAATGAAATATCAAGATGGTTTTATACAAGACGTGTTTTCGAAGATGTCTTTTCTTACAATTTTCTATACTAATTGGAAATTCAGTGATAAGTTTTGCGACAAAAATGTCAGTTAAATACACACTATCAAACTTGAATATTTGTGGTGACTCTAGCGCAGTTTTTCTTCATTTAGAAGGAATGTCCGTAAATGACTGTGTTAAAGAGTGCGCCAAACGGCCAAGATGCAAAGCTGTGAACTATATTAGGCGTATAAATAACCTGTGTCAACTGCTCGATAAAGACATGCTCTCCAATCAGTCGGTGTGTGATTATATACGGAAATCTGACATGGTAATAACAGATGTAAGTATAGATACAAGTTTAAATTGTTTGGAGTAGTTCAGAGTTTTATTTGTGTTTTAGCACATGTCTAAGTCAACAATGCGTTCTCCAAAAGAGAGAAAAGTTGAGTTATATCAAGCAATTTACTCTAAAAAAGAAGTTCCTACTTTAATTTTGTGAAGCAAATTTTATCCTTAGTCAGTGTTCGTGATTTTTGTGATAAAGTTGTAACGTACACATACGAAATAATTATAATATATATTTTGATAACTTTCCAACTTTTTGAACCAGACAAAACAAGGAATAAAGAATTCCGTATACTTGTTGGAAAAGAGGTTAAGGAAAGATACCTGACATAATGAACCAAATAAGTAAATTCTAGTAAAAATTCAAATACAAAAATCATTTTAACATTTTATATATATTTCGATTGGTCCTTCATGATTTTTAATTTTGAAACTTTTAATGTCATAGATTGGACACCGCTTAAGTCGGTGCTACGTACATGATGTATTGTGCACATAAGATAATCTCTCATGAACAGACTCAACTAAATCGAGTCTGCAATTGTTACATTTTTTGCTTTGTTTTCGTTGCTGTCGAAGGATTTTTCTCAGCATTTTATTGTACATGTATATATAAGTATGTATTAAAAAGCAACAAGACCATTTAGAATAAAAATTGATTTCATATAGATTGCGTCTTTTTAAAAAAAAAAATTAATCATACTTGAAACGTATCGTCAAACATTTTTGAAATTGAACTGTCAGTTCAGTTTAGTTAAGTTTTATTTAGCAAACTTACATGATAGCATGCCTTTGGCCAATTTAACACTTATACCTTATCACGACGTTTCTTTCTAACGCCTTATCAGTGATTTTTCCATGTTTTTCATACCTGAACAAAGTCTGTTTCCCCTAGCTCAAAATAGGTATATTTTCCCCTAAAAAGCTAATATTTTCCCCTGAAATATCCTGTGCACTTTTTCGCCAGAACCATGACTTAACAGACTCTGACTTATTATATCAGCTAGAAAACAGATTGCTGCTCTTAAGCCTCTGCTATGAACCCTGCATGTTAAATTGAATTGAAATTGAATTTTTTATAAAATGTGTGGTTAAATTCCATTCTAAGTTGTTGGAATTTGATTTTCCCTTTTTTTTAATTTATCGCGCTTCAGAAAGCCACAGGTTCTTTTGAAAATCAGAAACAAATCAATGCTTATACAATTATTATTATGATTTCAGATGCCATGTACAGGATGCTCCTCTCACAAGACTTGTGACTTATCAAACGGACAATGTATAACAACAGGTAAGACAGTATTCAAAACATTCGTTTTCGTTTTAAACATAATTATTTTAGTCTGTCTCTAGGTAACCAATAACCGATAACTTTATCGTCCAATATCAATAGCATGCAAATGCGTATGAACTAAACCACTCGTACATTAACGCATATTTAAAACAAATGCATGTATACGTGTACATCATACAATTTTGCGTCATATATAGTTTCGTTTATTGAAGCGCTAGGAAAAATGTATCACATTAAGCTCCATGTGTGACAGATATAATATTGTGTCAACGTTTGATACTAAATACTCGATAAGTCTCCATCCAGAACCAGTAACGAATGTCCCGATAGTGATACTTGGTATTTCTAGAAATAAGAATATGATTTATCTTCTCCTCAGGTTTCTGTACAGTGTATAATTAAAATCGTTTGAAGAATAAACAAGGTTTAAGAATTTATATCAACTATTTTCAGAATGTGCTCGTCCAAACGTTCAGGGTGGACGTTATTTAGGAAACGAATATACAATTGGCAGTACTATCCGAATCCTTTGTGACAACGGTTATAAAGAAGTTGACGGCGTAAAAAGCGCAGTTTGTCTAACAAATGGGTCATGGAGTAACAATTTGTCTTGTCACCCATGTGAGTATTTCACTGTCTCTTATTCAATCTGGCCTTACCACGTGACCTGTCGGGTAACGGCACACGTAGAGTTTTACCCAAATTCAGGTATGTTTTTTATTAAAAACGTTCTTGTTACTCAACCGATTTTGATCAGATAAGGCGCAGAGTACCCAACGTCCTTATATATAAGCTGCTAACGATAAATCTAAGTTCTGAAAATCACTGAATAGTTTTTGAGAGCATTCGAGTTCATTTTTCTTTATAGCCGGGGTCAAGAGGAACGGTACACATTCATTTATCACAACACATCATTTCTAACAATTCATCTGTTTTTTTCCCACAGTTTCATAGAAAAATGAATGCTAAATCTTATAGATTTTCTATGTCCAATGTATCTAGTGAATGCAGTGATGTTTTAGCATATTGTTGAAATGGTACGGAGCACTCTATATTTCAAAGGATACGGTACACACACATTTTCTGTCTTTTTGAAATAAATCTGATAAAAAATATATGAACAGTTGTTTTAACTTAATATAATATAAGTGTTTCTTTTTTTTCAAATTTACATATTTTATTTATTTAAAGAGTTTTTAGAACCCTAGGGCCTGTTTATTCTCAGCTTGATAAAGATAAAATATGAACAATCTTTATGATTTACTCTTGCTGATGTTTTACAATAATCCAGTGCTGTTTTAGCATTAGTTCATCAAGTTTTAATGAAATGTTACGGAGCACATGCTTTTAAAAGGGTTACGGAACATACACACTTTAGAGAGGGATACGAAGCACTTTCTTAATTATGCTCTGTTTTATTTTTCAAATGAAACACATCAACCAGAGTACATAATGAAGATTTTCAATAATTATATCTATAAATAAAACAGTGGGGGAAATAGGCCCTATGGTTCTCAAAACGATGTAAATCAATAGAAAAAATGTAAATTTGCATGTGATTAATAAGTGTGTACTGTTCCCCTCGACCACGGCTTTGAAAAAAAAATGTAATCGAATGTTTTCAAAAACCATTCAAGGGTTTTCAAAAGATGGTAGCTTATATAATTACGGATACTATTATCTGATCAAAATCGGTTGAGTAACATCAAAGTTATTAATAAAAAACATACGTGCATCGGGTGAACAATCTGCGTGTAATGTACCCGAAAGGTCACGTTATATGGCAACATTGTAATCTATCGTGCAAAAAAACACCAAAAACTCTGTACGATGTTCCAACGTTTCCTTTCAAATGTATAATCTTTTTTAATGATTTGCTTTATTTATGTTTTCAGATACTGTGACAAACATTACACTATCAACAACATACAGTACCAAGATAACGACGACAACAGAAACGGAACAAATTACTACGCCAATAAATGCTATATCAAATGCTGATACGACACTTTCTAACCCAACATCCTTTTTAACAGACATGGTTTTGTCTTCTTTAACATATACACTGGTATCTTTTGTTACAGATACGCCAATAACTACTGTAATAGAGTTACAAGCATCTACTGAATTACAATCACCAACATCTGCTATAATAGGTACACAGGAATCAATTGCAACAAATACAATAATACCTTCCATAACAGCTGCACCAACGTCTAGTCCAACAAAAACATCAACTTCTACTGTAGCAGCTACGTCAATTTCTAGTTTGAGAGATACACCGACATCTACTGAAAACGTTACGTCAAGTGAAACAGATACAGTAACAGTTACACCAACTTCTAGTTTAACGAATACACCAACATCAACTGTAACACTTACATCGAATTCTAGTGTGACGAGTACACCGGCATCTACTGTAAAAGTTACACCACTTTCTAGTTCAACGAATACACCGGACTTCACTATAATAGTTACATCGACTTCTAGTGTAACAGATTCACCGACATCTACAATAACAGTTACAACAACTTCTAGCGAAAGAATCGCACCGACATCTACGGAAACGATTACACCAACAGCTTTTCTAACAAATACACGGAAATCTACTAGAACAGTTGCACCAACTTTTATTGTAACTGATACATGGACACCTACTGTAACAGATATACCGGTACCTACTTTAACAGTTGCACCAACATTTAGTGTAACAGTTCCATCAACATCTAGTGTAACAGCTACACTCACATCTACTGTAACAGAAACACCGACATCTACTGTTACAGATACATTGACATCTACAAAAACAGTTGTATCAGCATCTAATGTAACAGATACACTAAAATCTACAAGAAAAGTTGCATTAACTTATAGTGTAACAATTACACCAACATCTATTGTAACAGATACACCGACATTTACTGCAACAGATACACCGACATCTACAGTTACAGTTACACCAACTTCTACTAGAACAGTTGCCACGACATCTAGTGAAACAGTTACACCATTATCAAGTGTTACAGATACACCGACAGCTATTGTTACAGATACACCAACATCTACTGGAACAGTTGCACCGACATCTAGTGTAACAGTTACACCAGTATCTAGTGTTACAAATACACCGACATCAACTGACACAGATACACCGATATCTATTGAAACAGTTGCGGCAACATCTAGTTTAATAAATACACCAAAATCTACTGCAACACATACACCTGTGTCAACTAATACAATTGCACCAACTTTAAATGTAACAGATACACCGACATCTGCTCTAGAAGATAGATCTTTAATTACAGTTCCACCAACATCTAGTTCAACAGTTACACTAACAACTAGTGTAACAGATACACCGACATTTATTGTTACAGATACACCGGCATCTACTGTAACAGATACACCGACATCATCTGTAACAGGGACAGCAACATCTAGTGTAACAGATACACAAACATCTAGTGTAACAGATACACCAACATCTAATGTAACAGATACACCGACATCAACTGTAAAAGATACACAGACACGTACTGTAACATATACACAAACATCTACTGTAACAGATATGCTGACATCTACTTTAACAGATACACCGACATCTAGTGTAACAGATACACCGACATCAACTTTAACAGATACATCGACATCTAGTGTAACAGATAAACCGACATCAACTGTAACAGATACACCAAAATCTAGTGTAACAGATACACCGACAAAAACTGTAACATATACATTGACATCTAGTGTAACAGATACACCGACATCAACTGTAACATATTCAGCAAAATCTAGTGTAACAGATACACCAACATCTACGGTAACGGAAACACCGACACTAACTGTAGCAGATACACCAACATCTAGTGTAACAGATATATCAACATCAACTGTAACATATACACCGACACCTACTGTAACAGATACACCGACATCTAAAGAAACAGATACACCCATACCAACAGTAACAGATACACCGACATTATCTGTATCAGATACACCGACACAGACGATAACAGATACACTGACATCAACTGTAACAGATATATCGACATCAACTGTAACATATACACCGACACCTACTGTAACAAATACACAAACATCTAGTGTAACGGATTCACCGAAATCAACTGTAACAAATACACCGACATTATCTGTATCAGATACACCGACACAGACTGTAACAGATACACTGACATCAACTGTAACAGATACACAAACATCTAATGTAACAGATACACTGACATCTTCTGTAACAGTTACACCGACATCTAGTTTAACAGATACACCGACATCATCTGTAACATATACACCTACATCTAGTGTAACAGATACATCGACATCAACTGTAACAGATACCCTGGCAACTACGGTTACAGATACACCGACATCTAGTGTAACAGATACACCGACATCAACTGTAACCGATACATCGACATCTAGAGTAACAGATACACCGACACCTAGTGTAACAGATACACTGACATCTAGTGTAACCGATACACCGAAATCTAGTGTTACAGATACACCAACATCAACTGTAACAGATACACCAAAATCTAGAGTAAAAGATATACAAACATCTAGTGTAACAAACACGCTGACATCTACTGTAACAGATACACCGACATCTAGTGTAACACATACACCGACATTTAGTGTAACAGATACACTGACATCTACTAGTGTAACATATACAACGACATCTACTGTAACAGATACACCGACTTCAACTGTAACAGACACACCGACATCTTCTGTAACAGATACACCGACATCAACTGTAACAGATACACGGCCATCTACTGTGACAGATACACCGACATTTACTTTAACAAACATTCCAACATCTACAAGAACAGTTGCACCAAGTCATAGTGTAACACTTACGTCAACATCTAGTGTACCAGATAGACCGACATCTACTAAAACAGCTGCATTAACTTCTAGTGTAACAGTTACACCAACATCTAGTCTATCAGATACACCGACATCTATTAGAAGAGTTACACCATATATTAGTGTAACACATACACCGACATCAACTGTAACAGATACACCGATATCTATTAGATCAGTTGCATTAACTTCTACTGTAACAGATACATCGACAGCTATTGTAGCACATATACCAACATCTATTAGAACAGTTACAACGATTTCTAGTGAACCAGATAGACTGAATTTAACTAGAACATTTCCACTAACTTCTAGTGTAACTGATACACCGACTTCTAGTTCAACATCAAATGTTACAAATTCACCAACATCAACTTTAACAGATACAGTGATATCTACTAGAACAGTTGCAACAACATCTAGTGTAACAGATACATCAACATCTACTGTAACAGCTACACCGGCATCTACAAGAAACGTTGAACTAACTTCTAGTGCAACTGATACACCGACATCTAGTGTATTAGCTACACCAACATTTAGTGTTACAGATACACCGACATTAAGTGTAACAGGTACAGCGACATCTACTAAAACAGATGCACCGACGTTTACAAGATCCATTGCATTAACTTTTAGTGTAATTGATACACTGACATCTACCTTAACAGATACACCAATATCTTTATTAACAGTTTCACCAACATCTAGTGTCACAGTTACACAAACATCTAGTATAGTAGATACACTGACATCTACTGTAACAGATACACAGACATTAACTGTAACAGATACACCGACATCTACTGTAACAGATACACCAACATCTACTGTAACAGATAAACCGACATCTAGTGTTACAGATACACCGACATCATCTGTAACAGATGCATCGACATCTAGTGTAACAGATACAACGACATTAACTGTAACAAATATACCAAAATCTAGTGTAACAGATACATCGACATCAACTGAAACAGATGCACAGACATCTACTGTAACAGATACACCGACATCATTTGTAACAGCTACACCAAAATCTAGAGTAACAGATACACAAACATCTAGTGCAACAAATACGCTGACATCTACTGTAACAAATACACCGACATCTAGTGTAAAGGAAACACCGACATCAACTGAAACAGATACACCGACATTTAGTCTAACAGATACACTTACATCTACTAGTGTAACAGATACAACGACATCTACTATAACAGATACACCGACATCAACTGTAACAGATACACGGCCATCTACTTTGACAGATACACCGACATTTACTTTAACAGACATTCCAACATCTACAATAACAGTTGCACCAAGTCATAGTGTAACACTTACATCAACATATAGTGTACCAGATAGACCGACATCTACTAAAACAGCTGCCTTAACTTCTAGTGTAACAGTTACACCAACATCTAGTCTATCAGATACACCGACATCTATTAGAAGAGTTACACCATATTCTAGTGTAACACATACACCGACATCAACTGTAACAGATACACCGATATCTACTAGGACAGTTGCATCAACATCTACTGCAACAGACACACTGATATCTATTAGAACAGTTGCATTAACTTCTACTGTAACAGATACATCGACAGCTACTGTAATAGATATACCAACATCTATTAGAACAGTTACACCGATTTCTAGTGAAACAGATAGACTGAATTTAACTAGAACATTTCCACTAACTTCTAGTGTAACTGATACAACGACTTCTAGTTCAACAGTTACACCAACATCAAATGTTACAAATTCACCGGCATCAACTGTAACAGATACAGCGATATCTACTATAACAGTTGCAACAACATCTAGTGTAACAGATACATCAACATCTACTGTAACAGATACACCGACATCTACTAGAAACGTTGTACTAACTTCTAGTGCAACTGATACACCGACATCTAGTGTAACAGTTACACCAACATTTAGTGTTACAGATACACCGACATTAACTGTAACAGATACAGCGACATCTACTAAAACAGATGCACCGACGTCTACAAGAACCATTGCACTACCTTCTAGAGTAATTGATACACTGACATCTACTGTTACATATACACAGACATTTACTGTAACAGATACACCGACATCTAGTGTAACATTAACACCGACATCTACTGTAAAAGTTACACCAACATCTAGTGTAACATATACGCTTATATCTACTATAACTTATACACCAACATATACTGAAACAGATACACAGACATCTTCTGTAACAGATACACCGACATATTCTGAAACAGATACACCAACATCTAGTGTAACAGATACACCGACATCTACTGTGACAGATACACCGACATCTACTGTAACAGATACACCAACATTTACTGTTACAGACATACCAACATCTACAAGAGCAGTTGCATTAACTTATAATGTAACACATACATCAACATCTAGTGTAACAGAAACACCGACATATACTGCAATGTATATACCAACATCTACTAGAATAGTTGTACCAACATCTTCTAGCACAGTTGCACCAACTTCTAGTGTAACTGATACACCGGTATCTTCTGTAACAGACACACCGACATCTATGATTACAAATACACAAAGATCTACAAGAACAGTTGCACCGACATCAAGTGTTACAGTTACACTTACATCACGTGTTGCTGATACACCGACATCAGCTGTAAAGGATACACCGATATTTACTACAACAGTTGCACCAACGTCTAGTGCAACTGATACACCGGAATATACCGTAACAGATACACCAACATCTTCTCTAAATATAATATCAATTTCTACCGTCACAATTACACCAACATCTGTAACAGACACATCAACATTTTCAACAAATAAACAAATGGCTTCTAAAACAGATACACCTAATTTTACTGATAAAAATACACCAACATCTGGTGTAAAAGATGAAGCGATAGCTGCTGAAAAAGATATAATAATACCTCTTATAACAAGTAATCAATACCTCTTATAACAAGTACATCTACAGCTACTGTTACAGATATTAATAAACCTAAATCTGTTGTAACAGAAACCTCAACATCGTCTATAATGTATAAACCGACATTTTCTGCAACATATACCGGTACCCTATCTTCTTCTCTCAAAGGTTCAAAAGCATCAAATACAAAGCGCTCATTGGCATCTACAACAGAAGTTAAACAAACAAAGTACGAATACAAGTTAAATGGTGGTTAGAAATTTGCTGAGACGGATACAACACAATCCATTGTACTATATACTCGTACTATGGCTGTCCCATAATGTCTTGAACAGTGGTTGTAGAATAAAACTATTACGTCATAAAATTATTTTGCAGTACCGTATTTCCATTTATTTTAAGTAAAATAAGAAACATTATATCAAGGAATATACATACATTTTATATTAAAGTATTTATAACGACCTAAGGCGAATGTGCGACCCACGATAAAAATCGTCATTTGACAAACGTAACACATTCTCTTCAAAACAGAGTAAATGGACAATAAGGTAGAAAAGCTGCACAATGTTATGGCATTGACATTAACCTTTCGTTTTTTACGCTATATGGCGAAATTTCATCATACATGTATACAGTGCATCTTTATCTTCATGTAGTGCTCATATGAGTACAATAAAAAAACATTTGACGCTGATGTGGCCCAGCAGATGGTTATCTTTTTTGCATTTAGTGCTGAATGACACTTACAGTCCTGTTAAAAAAAGTTAAAAACAGTGGAAAAGTTACAGAATGCTTCGCGATCGTTGTTAAAGAAATTTCGTAATAAATATGCAACAGGTGATGAGAAAATGATATGCCCGTGGTCAAGTGACCATGAACATTTGAGACAATTGAAAAGATTATTATTTTTTTAGAAATTTGTTGGTTTTTTTTAGTATTTTGTAATAAAACGTTATATTGTCCATGACTTATTGAGACAGTCGTTGTATATGAACATGTACTGTATATATAGAACTATATATACCAACATCTTCTGCAAAATAAAACACACAAAATAGATAAATATAGAATCCCTAAAGAAAGCCCAACACGGCAAAATTGAAAATGTTGCAGGCTCGGTTTGATTGAGCCTGTTCATGGACGGTACTGGAAAGTGCAAATTACCGTCCACGCCCCCCTAGCACCGGCTTAAGCAGAATTCAACATTTAAACGTGAAATAGTAAAATTTTGAATTTTGAAACATCCGCAGATGTGTTCATACGGCGGTTATCATGGAACCTTCAATGTGACACTTCCGTGCCATTCCATGAAAAGCGGCGTATGGTCCCCAAGTAATAAAAAGCGTGTGCCCTAAACGAGAAAACAATGGGCAGAACTAAATAAAATGGAATTCTGAAAGGGGATCAGAGGTTATGAAGCCTGCGTATCACAGATAAGACGTCAAAAGACAAATTTAAAAAGCAGGCAACATATCCTAAGGGTGATTCAACATTATTCAAGTAGGAATATTGGAACCACCCATATAGAAAATGCCGAAAAGTTGGAACTAAAAATACCACAAGCACAACAATAATGTCGTGCTGAACGATCTTCAAGGATCGAAAATATAACATCATTGATTAAATGTACGGGGAGACTTTTTACAGCCGCCACACGGCACAAATAACACGGATGTGATCATAAAATAGATAAATACAGAATCCCTAAAGAAAGCCCAACACGGCAAAATTGAAAATGTTGCAGGCTCGGTTTGATTGAGCCTGTTCATGGACGGTACTGGAAAGTGCAAATTACCGTCCACGCCCCCTAGCACCGGCTTAAGCAGAATTCAACATTTAAACGTGAAATAGTAAAATTTTGAATTTAGAAACATCCGCAGATGTGTTCATACGGCGGTTATCATGGAACCTTCAATGTGACACTTCCGTGCCATTCCATGAAAAGCGGCGTATGGTCCCCAAGTAATAAAAAGCGTGTGCCCTAAACGAGAAAACAATGGGCAGAACTAAATAAAATGGAATTTTGAAAGGGGATCAGAGGTTATGAAGCCTGCGTATCACAGATAAGACGTCAAAAGACAAATTTAAAAAGCAGGCAACATATCCTAAGGGTGATTCAACATTATTCAAGTAGGAATATTGGAACCACCCATATAGAAAATGCCGAAAAGTTGGAACTAAAAATACCACAAGCACAACAATAATGTCGTGCTGAACGATCTTCAAGGATCGAAAATATAACATCATTGATTAAATGTACGGGGAGACTTTTTACAGCCGCCACACGGCACAAATAACACGGATGTGATCATAAAATAGATAAATATAGAATCCCTAAAGAAAGCCCAACACGGCAAAATTGAAAATGTTGCAGGCTCGGTTTGATTGAGCCTGTTCATGGACGGTACTGGAAAGTGCAAATTACCGTCCACGCCCCCTAGCACCGGCTTAAGCAGAATTCAACATTTAAACGTAAAATAGTAAAATTTTGAATTTTGAAACATCCGCAGATGTGTTCATACGGCGGTTATCATGGAACCTTCAATGTGACACTTCCGTGCCATTCCATGAAAAGCGGCGTATGGTCCCCAAGTAATAAAAAGCGTGTGCCCTAAACGAGAAAACAATGGGCAGAACTAAATAAAATGGAATTCTGAAAGGGGATCAGAGGTTATGAAGCCTGCGTATCACAGATAAGACGTCAAAAGACAAATTTAAAAAGCAGGCAACATATCCTAAGGGTGATTCAACAACAACACCATCATCAATATCAGATAAACCATTATCTTCTTTAAAATATACAGTCGTATCCAATGTAAAATATACAATAATTCTTACTGCTCAAGATGTACCATCAGCTATAACTGTCACACAAATAAACTGTAAATATTATCCTAGGTACACAATTATCTGTCCTTGGGTATTCACTAAACAAGATTGAAACAGATATACCAATCTTTGCCTCGGGAGAAACAGTGACTTGCTCCGTAAAAGACACATTGGTATTTCCGGTAACAAATACCACAACATCTACTGTGGTATATATATATCAACATCTACACCAGTGTCTACTGTAACTGATACACCAACATCTCTTTTAACAAATATATCGACTTCAATTGTTACAGATACACGAGCGTCGACTGTAAGAGAAACTTCGAAAGCTAGACTAAAAGATAAACCGATATTACTTGTAACAGATACACCAGCGTTTACTGACAGCTTAAGAAACAAGTACATCAACATTTCTCATGACTGGTATAGCAACATCTACTGTAACATTTACAGTAAAAGATACACCAACGTCAACTATAACATATACCTTAAATTCTACTGTTATAGATACACCAACGTCTAGTGTAACAATATACACAGACATTATTTGTTACAGATGTACAAAGGTGAACTGTAACAGATAAATCGAGATCTATGCAAAAGATTTTTGAGCCACTTGCACGACATTGTCGTCTGGTGCAAATACGAAAACATCTAATGCTACAGTTATAAAATTCTCTGCTACAAAAATAAAGGTGAGACTATTTTGGCAAAATACGAGAGCAGATATGTTAACATATTCAACGTCGCATACCGAAATATTCAAATAACAACAACAAGGCTACAAATATATAACAATGTTATATAACAACAACTTTCAAAAACTTTTATGAACTTAAAACTTTTGCAAGACGTTCTGGTCTTGACCAAATATTTTGATCAGATAGACATATCTCAGAATATGTTAATAATTTATGTAGATAAGGTTTAAAATATTCACGTTCGCTTTTTTGAATGTTTACGTTAATTTCTCTTAAAGGCGAGGCCAAATCTATTGTCGTGATGAATGTTAATATTTGTCTATTAATCTTTTGTTATGGGTGATTGAAGTGGTTCTGCAAGTGCAGTGATGGATGAATGATTGTGTATAGATGATGCGGTTCAGGGATAACTTTAAATTTTCCTAGTAACTGACCACTCCTCTCATTACATTCAAAGCAATACTATCACTTTAGCAAACTTGTTATTTCTTACCAGAAATACTATTGACTAAAATATATATCTTATAACTGATATGTAATATTCTACATTAAACCGGGTATGTATACATTTATTTTATTGAAATTTTGAAATGTTGATAATGTATATACATGTATTGTAATTATTGTAATTGTAAAATATGTAATTTATGAATTGTCTATTGTAAAATATTTCTCTTTGTTTTTGTCTTGTAATCATTTTGTTTGTTATAGATTCTTCTAGTACCTGAATAAGTGGAAAACCTCATTTAGTATCTATTGTCAACAAATCTCCACCACTACATTAAATCTGTCGGCGAAACCGAAATAAATTCTGGATCTATTATATCCAGATTGTTTGTGCGGCAGAGAAGGATTTAATCTGAAAAATATATAAGTGTCCGGTGCCTTAAAAAAGAAAATGCTGCTTCAAATATTCTACTTGACATACTTTTGCCCTTACGTTTAGCAATTCCAAAAGAACGTGATTGATATTCCGTTTCAAAAGCTTTAAATTTATAAAAGTTGCTTCTCTGAATGTATTCTGTTTACCTTTATCATATAATAGTAAATAATTGTTTTCATATTTTAAACATAATTATTTATTTATTAATATTGAAAAAAGTATTATGCGAGATACTATGCAAAAACGTAAAACACGTAATAAACCAACTGTATTAAACACAAGAATTTGTAACAGAGTTACCAATGTCCCCCGCCTCAGGGAAGTTTTATATGAAGGATAAAATTGTGCTATATCAAAAGATTGAGGTATGAATCTCAGGACTTTCAGTGCAAAATTATGATCATTGCTAGATCTGCAAATGCTATAATAAATTTATTAATGAAATAAAATGAAACATGGAATTTAAAAATCTATCATGTTTGACTTTGACCTCTAAGTGTGACCTTGACCTTGGAGGTAGGGGTGCAAGTGTTATGCATGACATATCGTCTTGTTATTGTAACTATTTGTGCCAAGTATTTTCAAAATCCCTTGAGTTATAGATCGGACACAAAATATACCCTATAACAGACTATGTTAATTTTTGACCTCTAAGAGAGACTTTGACCTTGGAGGTAGGGATGCAGGTGTTGCGCATGACACATTGTCTTAATATAGTGACTATTTGTGCCAAGTATTTTCAAAATCCTTTGATCTATGAAAAAGTTATGGACCGGACACAAAATATACCCTATAACAGACTATGTTAATCTTTGACCTCCAAGTGTGACCTTGACCTTGGAGGTAGGTGACCGGTTGTTGCGCATGACACATCGTCTTATTATTGTGAACAATTGTGGCAAGTATTTACAAAATCCCTTCAAAGATAAGAAAGTTATGGACCGGACACGACATATACCCTCAAATAGACAATGTTGACCTTGAATGAGCAAGTGCGACCTTGACCCTGGAGGTAGGGGTCTGGTTGTTGCGCATGACACATCGTCTTATTATAACAAACATTTGTGCCAAGTTATTTCAAATTCCTTTGATAAATGACAAAGTTATGGACCGGACACGAAAGTGTGACGGACGGACAGACTGAAGTTCTAACAGGAGAGTAATAATGTGGCTACTCTATTGTTCTCTCTATTGTTCTTTTTAGCCGCACAAAAGAAAATAGCCACATAAAAGCATTTCGGAATGAATGACATCAAGGAGAAAGAACAGTTACCTATTGTCCCTCTAGCCACATAATTACTGTCCTGTGAGTGCGGATGGACAGACGGACGGACGGAGACTATTTATATACCCCCCTTTTTCTTCGAAAAGGCGGGGGACAATAACTGTATTCATCTTTTATACCTGAAGATATGCGAAATTCCTGCCCCTGTTACAGATTTC